TGGCTCAGTTCAGCACTCACATTACCCATTACTTTTATAGTTGTCTACAAAAATCTTTTTTCTTCCCTTGTTCCGCGTTGTTTGTAACACTGTGCGTAGCACAGGATAATTGTGACCTTCTTTCATTTTGAGTTGAATCTTGCTGTCATGATCCTGAATAATGATAATATTATATTCTCATTTTTTGTACATGAGGGACCCCAGTTTACAGGTATCATCAATATGATAAATTACATATACGATTAGTACGCATTTTAATAACGATAATGTATTATTATTTTTAATAATAACATGACGAAGTACATATATATTCCTACCAATGTAGCATACAGCAGTTGTACAGGCATGGATAAGTATTATTTAAATTACATAAATTTGGTTTGTGGTGAAATCACATGGTTTCTGTCTTTTTTGGCATTAGTTTGTGGGAACAACCTGCTAACTAGTCATTCAATGGAGCACATCAAGAAATATGGAAATATTGTCTTCGCATTAACAAAAAACCCAAGCATGTGTTAGATGGATCACAAATACTTCGTGAAAAAATGAAGCTTAAAGTCATTTCTCTCATATAACAATGAAATCGATCTTATAATGAAATTGGATCCCACTGCATTAGGGTTTTGGCTACCACTGCTGACATCATTATAGCCACTCAGTGTCCTCACGGCCGTCTTCTATGTTACCAAACCGGAGTAGATTACTGACTTTCCACTTGACAGTTTTGACAATCCGCAACCATTACATCTGGTCTTGCAGATTCCCAGCACTTCTATGCTATGTCTTCTCATTTCTTAGGCTACCCGGGCGACTTTCCCAGCCTAGAACATTATACGGATATTCCATGTCCCCGTTCTTACGCTTGCTCTCATCGACAGAACATGTCAGCGAAAGAATCTGGGCATAGCCCCATGTTTCACCGACATTTGAATGTATTCAGGCTTCCTTCGTGAATAAGTTGAAACAACCGTGCTCTGTATGATCTAGGTCTTAGCCCAGTTGGTCACATGGCCCAAGGGACTTAGAGCCCTTTGTGACCCGCCAAGTTTCTGATCCGTATAGAAGAACTGACTGACTTGACGTTTGTATTGAAAATCCGAATCATTTTGTTGTTGATGCTGAGTGACAGCGGAAGATTTCCAGATTGGTTTCAGGTTGATGAATGTGTTTCTCGCCTTCCCGATTCTCGATTTGACATCCTCGTCCGTTCCTCCTGTAGTTGAGACAATGCTCCCTAGATAAGGGAATGAACTAACCTCTTTCAAATCCCTCCCGTTGATGGTGATTGGCGCTGGATGTTGCTGCTGCTGTTGTTGTTGTTGGTTGGTTATTTTCATAACCTCCGTCTTGTCTATGTTCACCTGGAGTCCTGTCTTCACCGGCTGCTTCTTCGACCAGTTTGTCGGTCTTCGCTTGTAAGTCTTCGATTTCGTGCGACATCAAACATAAATCATCTGCGAAATCCAGGTCTTCTAGGTTCTTCACGTCGGTCCAGGATATTCCTGTCTTCTCGTTCCCCACTGTCTGACGCATAATCCAGTCCAACACAATTAGGAATACCATTGGTGATAATAGGCACCCTTGTCTGACTCCTGTGTTTACTCAAAACGCCTCGCTGAGTTTTCCTTTGTGGATCACTTGACATGTTCCGTTGTCGTACAGCTGTTGAATGAGGTTGATGAATATTTGAGGTACGTCGTAGTACTCGAGTAGTTTCCAAATTACTTCGCGGTTAACGCTGTCGAAGGCCTTCTCAAAGTCTATAAGGTTAAGGTAGAGGTTTGATTGCCATTGCATGCTTTGTTCGATGATGATGCGTAGAGTTGCAATTTGATCAGAATATGATTTGCCTTTCCTGAATCCAGCTTGTTCTGGTTGGAATTCTGTATCCAGTGCGTGCTTTATTCTCTTCAGGATGGTGCGACTTAGGATTTTACTTGGCGTCGACAGGAGCGTGACTCCTCGCGAGTTCTTGGGAGGTGCTAGGTGGCCCTCCTTTCGTAGTTTCACGAGATAACCTTTCTTCCAGTCAGTGGGCACCTATCCCTCCTTCCAAACTTTTTGCAATAATGGAGTGAGCATATGTGCTGTCGTTTCTGGGTCCGCTTTCAGAAGCTTGATTGCATTCAAGACTTCAGCTTTCGTTGGAGGATTGGTGTCAACTTGCACTTGTGTACGTGCTGTTGTTGGTATTTCTGGACGGGTTGTAGGTGGTGGTCGGTTCAAGATTCCTTTGAAGTGGTCCGCCCATTGTTTGATCTGTCTTTCTTCTTTGGTAATTGGGTTCCCTTGGCTGTCTTTTATAGGTTTTAATTGTGTTGATCTCTTCCCGGATAGAGACTTGGTTATCTGAATGAATCTGCATAAATATGGTAGGCGTAGAAAGAATTATTACCAGGTAAATCAGAATTGAAAGTAATCGATCTGTAAAAGAAAAACCTGAGTATTACGTGAATGATGACAGATAGGAGGTAGCATATCGGTTAGGACGCTTGCCGAACATGCACATGATCCGGGGCTCGATCCCCGGCCTACTCACACCTGATACCAATGGTCGGCCCGCTAAATTAGGGCCACCGATATCCCATGCTGAAGATTTTATACTTGTATCAAAAATACTGTGTGGAGTCAAGGTACAATAAAAATAAACAATAAATAAAACTAGTATCGACATTCTGAACCACTGTCTGCTGAATTGGAGGATGAAGCATTTCAATTTCGGTTTTATGTTGTTATATGGGCATAATTTTTCTGAATGACCTTTGACCTCATAAGCAATCTTTAACCTCATATAGTCAGATATCCTGTCTTATACAGCCAACCAAACTAGCACACTTAACTACTGGCCTGAGGCAATTTCATATGTATTTGAAATGTATGGATATCATGTGCTTTTTTATTAAAGCTAACCTCAAAAGTCATTCCTTTACTTCTCATATTTCTGTGGTCCAGTGAAGCAGGTATTTGAGAGATAACAGTCGTAGTCGGTATTCAGCAAGGTTACATTTCAATATCCCTATATTCACTTGGAGTCAACATCTTGGTACTGTTGTGCTGGGAACGTTATCAGCATGTAGCTAATTCTGTGTCACTGTTTTATCAAATCACTATTTGCTATTGCGGAATCGTAATCTGCCACATTGGCCAAATTCTGTCCCTATATAGACATTCTACTCGGTGGGTAAAACTCTGCTTCAAGTACAAACTGAATCCATTTTAGCGAAATGGATGGTAACAACATAACTGTAAGCAAAGTCTTGAATCTGAAGAACAGGGTTTCTGTCTGAAATAGTTTGCGTGTTACGGTTTCTGTAATCACCACAGGGCTTCAATCAGTTTAATTTTTCCTGGGCACCATAAGTAGTGGGAGACCCATTTACTATGGGTGACTAAGTGACCCCAAAATTAAAGCATGCAGTCAAATCCCATCTTCACCTTTTCAGCTTTTTAGGCCACATGTCTTCGTTTAGCCAGAACTAGAGAGCCTTGCATCTTTGTGATAGGTGGATTTTTTGGGAACCTTAAGAATGTTTAGGATTGACTGATGAGTTGGAAGTTCCAATAACATTTTCCGGAAATATTCGGTTGATACTACTGGATACTGGAATAAACCAAGTGAGTTAAGATGTCTTTCCTTGCCATCTTGTACCTGGGCACTTCTTTCACTGTCCGCTGTCCTCTCCAGGTATCGATAGATTAGTCATACCTGTAGTGGTAGGTAATTCCCCAGAGCTATTAGGCACCGCATTAATCACTGAACGGTGGATGCTGACCCTCACTGTTTTAGTTGATTTATTTACCTGAAGGCGTATGGTCAAGCGTCCACACCATTTGGCACTCCGTCGTGTTACGTTCATTCTCTCGTTCATGCACGATCCCTAGCTAGTTAAGCAATCATCCTCACACTCCAATTTGATCCCGAAATATAATTCGTAATTTGCTTTTCCTTCGGTCTACGCTCAACGAATGCTATAAAAGTTGTGAGTATTAGATCTTGCGTTAGTATACTTCGTGATATCCGTCAACCTCTAAACGCCTTTCTTAAAGGTGTATGTCTGAAATCTTTGATCTAGGTCAGCATTTGTTAAAAAATAAATGTCTTTAAAAAGGTGAAAATTCGGTCCATAAGGAAAGACAACCAGCCTTCGACATAAGTTGTGCTGCAGCAGGATGAAAAACTACGACTAGCTAGCGGGTGGAAAGATGGCCATCAAGGGCAGTCAAAGAGAGTGATATTCCTAGTACATTATAATGGAATCCTCTTGTGAAGGCCCATGAGAGAATGCTCGGCAGTGAAATGAAAGCTAAGTTTCCACTTCCATTTTTTGAGTTCGTAGCACCTAGGATTTATATACAATAACCTGCACTGTCCCATTATCAATAGAAATATGAGAATGGCAGCTAGATTTTTCAAAAAGCAACACATGTGGAGGCTGAATAGGCCAACACATGACTCCTAAATGTTGTCGCTCTAAGTAACCCTTGCCAACTTAATTTAATCAATTAATAGTCTCACGTTTACTGTCAACTCGAACACGACCATTTTGTCACCTCCACACTCGTTTTCTGATCCCTGTTGCGATTGATTTTCAATAACCTTAATTTATTCAACTCAACCCAACGACCAACTGCTGCAGCCTCTTGGTATCAACACAGAACAAATATAACTAAGCTCCTGATGCTTCGGGGTCCACCACTACCACGGAGAGACAGAGGTCAAACTGACGGAGCGAAAATTCACCAAGGAACATTCAACTTCGTCGCCTATCATGTGTGATCTTGAAATAATTGACTTGTTTCACATTAACCCATATATGGTATTCTGGTGGCAACTCTTGAACAGGCTGTACAGAGCTCATTGTGAAAGTATCGTTGAGGTATTGAACTGGAAGCAGTAGAAATATCACTGAACAAGCCAGAATCTCCAGTAAGACATATTAATTATTGTTTACTTCAACAGCTGTATAAATGAAAAGTTTTGTTAATTGATATCCTTTACCCGCAGCTCGATATTCAAATTCCCTCACAGGTGCTGCGCACGCTTTTGAGTCTTGAACTACGCTATGGATCAATCACTGGTGAATGAATTGACCAACTGCCTGCAACACACATTGTCACCAGATCGAGAGAGCAGGAAGTCGGCAGAATCATATCTAAAGGCTGTGGAACTACGCCCGTCTTATTGCATATGTTTGCTTAGGATTCTTCAGGATTCCAATGTTCCTCTCCCTACACGTATGGCTGCAGCTATTACTCTGAAGAATTTTATAAAAAACCGTTGGCATGTCGTAAGTTTGGGGTGAATTTTACAAAATTATTTTGTGAATATACAATACATTCACTTCAAACCGTTTTTCTTACCTTAGAACGTTGAAGCCTAAGGTGCTTGTCGGCTCGTCTTCAGCCTGATTTTCACCAAATTTCAAGACCAGTTCAGGTAACACCCTCTCATTTGAGGTCTGATTATGCCTCTAGAAAGGCTACAACCATAGAGAGGTACCACTTATTGGCTAATTTCCTCACTGTCTCGGCAAAACTGTTAAACCCCCGAAAACACAGTTTTCTTTGGTCCCTCAGCATAGCAACGGACTGTTTCTCAACCGTATGTGTAGTTTTGTGTTATGTCACTGTAGATCTCGTCAAAAACCGCTGTCAGTTAGCAAATCACTGAAAACCAGGAAGTACTGTACGATGGTTTCGTCCTAGATTAGTACACTTCGACAGTGCGCACCCAAGACTTCACAACAGATCGAATCCAGGACCTTCAGGCTACAAGACCAGCTTGTTAAGCATTCATCCACTCGGGATAGTACTCTATGATAAGTGAATTCAGTTAGTTAGCAATAGCGCTTATTGTAAACATTTGGATGTTAAAAATCCTCACTAATCATCTAACTGTTCTGTATCCCGTACATCATCATCCACTGTAGTTTCATTACGTTTCATTTCTTGACATTTATATGTGCTTTTCCGAAGTGTGGTGACTTGCACTGATGCACTCCTGTGTAAAGTTCTACGCTGATAATTCGGTCAGTTCAACGAACTTGCTAGAATATGGCGAACATCAAATTAGTCCTGTCACATTTACTGTGTGACGGTATTTTGCAAGGGATTTGTGACTAAAATAGTTGTGTCTTCAGCTTTTTTTTAAAGTCATGACTTATAATCTCTAAGTCCTTTTGTCCCCTAACATCTGGCAGTTCTGTCCCCCATGGAGTACGACGTGTAAGACTTCTGACCTAGGTCCATTACCACGCTTTTCTTGGAATTAATTTCCAGACTCCAAAGGTTAGCCCATTCGGCTAATTTATCTAGATTGTTTTGTAGTACCAACCTATCATCGTTACTATTTACGGTTTTCCATATCTTAATGTCGTCCGCAAATAGTAAGGAAGATGAGGTAAGAATTTTCGGCACTTCATTCACGTATAATAAGAATAGCAGGGGGTCAAGTACAGTTTCCTGAGGTACTCTACTTAGCACTGCTTTCCACTCTGGCAGTACACCATTAACCCTTACCTTCTGCCATCCATCCATCAGATAGTCGCTAAACCACTCACATAAGCGTTGGTCTAATCCAAAACGTTTAAGTTTACCAAGAAGATCTAAATGGGATGCCTTATTGAATGCTTTACTAAGATCGATAAAAACAATGTCCAGTAGATAGTTCTTATCCCTGGCCTCGACCCAATCTTCCCTAGCTGATAGTAAGTTTGTCAAGCAGGATCGTCCTGGTCGGAATCCATGCTGTTCCATTGCCAGTAAGCCATGTTTTTCCATATGAGCTAAGAGCTTATCCCTTATGAGTTTTTCTAACACCTTTGCTAAAAAGGAGGTCAAACTTACAGGCCGGTAGTTAAATATTAACTGCCTGTTCCAATCTTTGAAGATGGGGCTTATAAAAGCATCTTTCCAGTCCCTGGGTAGCCTAGCCTGGGTCAGAGACATCTGAAAAATCTCCAGAAGTGGAATGTATATTATATCCGCCAAGGAGATTAGTAGTCTAGGATGAAGTCCATCTGGTCCAGGTGATTTACCTGGCTTCAGCTTACACAGTAGTTTGAGAACCGCTAGCTTCAAAAGTGAGTCAGATTCCACTGGGTTGTTTCCTTTAAATGTATGCTTTTGATGATTAATTGATTTTAAGGTACTTTGATGCAGACTGTTCTGTCAGCGAAGTTTGTAGTGTGGCTACCGTGCTAGTTGGCTCATCATCACAGTGCACTCTGAACTGTTGTTATTAGATGGTTGGAGGCAATCGGCTGGAAGTTCTTCTTCACCTAGGTCTCGTGCTTGTTTGTACTCATCAGTCTTCATTCTTTAAGGAACTCATTTCCCTTCTCAGGTTCAAACCATTGTTGCAGTCAGAGAGGTTACCACTGAGTTATCCGGACTGGCGATTGGCCTTCTATCGGACTGTGTTAGTTACTTTGATTGGACACTAGACAGGAATCAGTGTCATGCCCCAAGCTGTTCGAAGTGGTTCGAATTGAATTCTTTCATTTGTTAAACTTGTTTTTGCATGGCATCCATTATATAAGTTACTATGAAGTATCAGTAAGCTGTTATATCCTCCTGTCATCATCTCGAATTGTTTTTGATTTAGAATATACCTAATATAGTATGTACACCAAGATTCGCACCATCGCTTTAGTTCTCAGCCATATTCGATAACTGGTCGAGCCATTAAGCTGTATGATATTTCCGCCTCCATTCAGGAAGTTGTGATGCACCAACAGGTTAACAGCACAAAAATCCACTTCATTCCACAGCAACACATCATAGGGGATGACCACCTTCTCAACCACTTTAAGTACTAAGAAACGGTGGACATTTTGGAAGCCTCTGGTCTTCGGAATATCACTAACGACAACTCTAAAGAGAAACGTCGGAATTGGGCAAACTTTTCCAATCCTAACTGCTAGTTTAGAACAGTGTTGGATGACGCTAATGTCGAGAAATGGGATTGTTGGTCTGCAGCATGTGTGACAGTGTTCTGACAACGTAAATGTTTCATGGACTAGTCTTCACGAACTGACTGACTCACAAAATAATTTTACATGCATTTTACTTAGCCTGGGAAGAATATCAGTGGCTAGTGTGTGTTTGGAGACAACTTGTAACAGACTCGTATCCGAGTAATTGTCACATGTATTGCATATACCTTATTTAAAGGTGGACACATCAAATAGACACTCATTTTCCTAAGCTTACTCGAACTATTCAGTCAGTTTCCTTACTAGAGTTGCACCACCATTTTTAGAAAGAGCTGTGGATAAGTTTTTTGGAGTTGGGTGCTTAATAACGCTTAAGTCTCTCCTAAACTCCCACTCCGGCAGGTGGATCAATGGTAAGTAACTGTGGAACACTGTGACTAAGACTATTGTACACTGGCGCTGTAAGGTCATATAGGCTTTTCTAAGTTGCTCTGTCCAGCGTTCCAGTCGTCTGTTCATGTTGCTAATTGGTGTACTATTCGCCTCGAACCCAAGACCTGGTTTCAAGGCGAGCGAGCTCGTAGACCATTAAGCTACTGGCTCCCAATCCAATGGCCCATGAGCTGAGCTGAGCTTTCCATTGAATTGTCATTCCATATTTGTGTGCAGGCTGAGACACTGTTCGAAAGCCTAGGTTGAAATAGGTAACCTAAATTTGACCACTCCTTGAAATCAGATCTGCAAAGTGGCAGTGCAGCATCATTGGCCGAATTCCCATGGTTACAGGTAGCCAAACAGGTTCTTTCTGACCATAGAGTCCATCTGTACCGTAGGTATTGGAATCAGGGTTTTCATACCCATATCCATCAATCCAGTGATCAGTGCTGGACACTAGCATTTATTATTTCGTTGAAAGCAGTGTAATTGAAAAACGATATCGAATCCGCATGGATGTTTGTATACACTTCAAGGCGAATAGATCACAACTTCCTCTTCCGCCATCCTATATTGAAATAAAACTGTCATTTCACTCCTTAACAAGACAATCATCCCTTTCTATCCTACTAGGATCCTGAAGAAACAGATCATATACAAGCATCTGATCGTGAAGGTTTACGCAATCAACTTATTGGAGCTATGCTTGCTGTATCAGGCAATTTACAACCACAATTATCTGAAGCTATAAGTACAATTTGGCGAGAAGATTTCCCGCATAGATGGCCTAATTTAATTCCTGAATTAGTTCAACGAATGGCTCAACTTGGTGCAGATTTAAGCATGGTTCATGGAGTTCTGTATACTGCGCATACATTGTTTAAAAGGTAACTGTGGTAGTTTATTTTTTATGCCTATTTCATTATCTAATTTGATCTGCTGAGTGAATTTCATCTTTATTGAAAGTATTTATTCTGCCTTCTTGTTGCTTTTCTTTGTATGATACTGTAATAAGGAAGAGGATTAGTGCTTGTTAAAAAAATATTAGTTTAGTTATATACTTAGTTGTTCTCTGAATAGAGTTTAAGCAATTATCTAATTTTATACAGACACTACTTCTTTTCAACCAACTTTAACTTGCTAAGTTGATGTGTCTTAAGCGCTTAACTTTCAATCAATGATTTTCTGCTTCGAAGCATCTACATCTCGGTTTAGGCAACCATGGTAGTTTCATAAACCCTCATGTGCGGTCCATAACCACTTAAGCAGTTCTGTACTGACTTGCATTATCGATCAAATGACTCTGATGAAGTGTATGTTGATGACCAAATTGTTTCGTCTGTAGGTTCTTTTATAGACAAAACCTTTATACGTTAGAGGCACCGAGAGATGCGCCGCACAGTATTTCATAGTTTGTATGAGGGCTGGAATACTTACTGCCCAGATGCCCAAATCGAAACAGGTGGTTATCTGAAGGGGCCATCCTGTGAGTGTGTGATCTACAAGGCAGTGAAGCGAAGCAGTGTCAGTATCCCGGTGACCAACACAGGTCGCCTAGGTGTAGACCTAAATGTGTTTACCAGTCCGGTTGTAAGCGTTAGACGCTTACATTCAGCCTGCATGAAGGTGGTGAATAGGACTTTGCTTGGCACAGGCTATTGTAATCCGTGACCATATGGTAACATTTCGAAAGGAAGACCAAAGTCTAACATTGACTTCAAGCATAAAAAATGGCAGTGAAGAAATAGAGTGTGATGACTACTTCACTTATTTGGTAAGTTGCATAAGCCCCAGTGGGCTGGTCGCTGACGAAATCTCAGCACAGCTACAAATGCCTGGTTTGACATCTGTAGCGTAGATGTGATATCTGGCTGCCGACTAAAGGATGTGTATACTGCTCAGCAATGCGCTCCGTTCTTCTTGATGGCTGTGAGTGATGCATGGCAGTTGAAAGTGGAGGACATGAGAACAATAACTGTCTTTGACCATAGATGTCTGCGTTCTATCTCCCATGTTAGGTGGCATAACAGGGTGAGTAATATTGAGGTGAGGCATCAGTCGAGTACTAGGTGATTGGAGGGGAAATCAATCGACGAGGTTGTGAAGCAGCTGCATCGATTAAGATTGTTAGGACATGTGTTACGCATGTATGTCTAGCCATCTATCGCCTTCCTCGATGATAGGCAGTGTAAGCTGACTGACAAAGGATTGATGAGGTTGGAAAAGTGTTAGCCAGTGGTGGTCAGATGAAAACTTGGCTTCATCAGCCACTGAAATCCATAACAGTTTAAGCCGGCCAGCCACGTAGCGAGGTGTAAAGTTCCTGACTGGTTGGGGTCCTCGGGATGGAAACGGCAGTTGGCGATATAGCTCAAAATCGTTCTCAATGGCTCAGATGTATTCACGCTTTGTGATTTATCATATCCAATAAAACTCAATTCTTCTTCCATATTACTATTCTTTTCCCCTCACTCTTCTGTCTATTATCTCTCTTTACTTTGTCCTCTTGCTTTGTGTGGTACATGGAGGGAGAGTAGGAACTCGAACTGCTGCACTTCTGTGCAGAGTTCTATGCTGAAACATGCAAGTCAAGTTAGTCAGCTTTGAATGTATCACTCTGGTTACTTTTGTTTAAAGCAGATGCAGTGGTTAGTTCCACCTTTCATCAAACATAATTCATGCATTGGAGATTCCTATATACGGCAAGTGCACAAGAAATTCACTCGTGCTACAGTGAAATGATGAAAGCATTACCTTTGCTGACTGCTCTCCCTCTTAAAGGTATTCTTTTACATACAGCTGGATGCCTAACACTTACTGGAGATATTATCACAATCACAATAACTTAATCTTTGTATTAATCCTCTTATATTCCCCCCCCCCCCCGAAGTTGATTCCTTTTTACTCTCTTTCTTTTATTTGTTTCCACGCTGTTAGATATCGTCATGAATGCGCGGGTTCCGAACTCTACACAGAAATGAAGCTTGTAATTGGTCAGTTTGGTGCACCACTTACAGAACTTGCAAAAGTAAATTATCCTTTGGGTTTCATTATTATTTTTCCAGTGTTTTAGTTGTGGGGCTTAGTAAAAGGTTGCTTTGTCATATTAGGTTTGCTATGATGTATGTTTGGCGTATTCAAGTCCCATTGTCAATTACTTTTGACTGTCATTTTTGTTTTGTTCTGTTCTGAAACATCTGCACAGCTTATCAGTAGGTATGAATTCCCTCGATGAAAAACAATATGTTGCTCTCATTGCTTTTATGCAAGGAACTTTATTATACGTAGGATTTTGTTTACTGAGATCACATTTGTAATGATATTGCTCCTCTTACAGTAGTTCTAAGTATACAAAGAGTCTTCCTGCGATAATCATCGGGGGATCAGCTTGACTAACATAGTGTCTAAAATTCCACACTGAATAATCCTGCATGGAGTATACTGTACTCAGTAGAAACTCGTGAGAAACGGTCAGGCTTTAGTCCAGGAGAAGAATATATTGATCATGCGTATCTTCACTCTTCAATAAATTCTGAAACAGGGATACTTACCATATTTCTTGACCTGAAGGTGGGATTGGGCTCCGTCGACCGAAAGGTATTGTGGTAACGTTTGATTGTGAAAAGTGCTGCAAAAGTGCATCGTACTAATCAAAGCACTCCACTCGAACTCACGCAGATATGTTAGGGCTTACAAGGAGTTGTCATTTGAAGTGATGACGACCAGTGGTGTCGGATACCTACTGTCACCATTTCCGTTTAATTTCATCATATATGTGCTTATGGATAATGATTCTAATTGGCTTTCAATAACTAAGAGATTGACTTGTTGCCTGGAGACAGTCTCATTGATTTAGTGTATGCGGATGATATTGTTCTTCTAGCTGAAGACTGACAAAATACAGAGTCTTCTAAACATCTTGAGCAGAAATCTTCGAATATTGGGTATGCGATTAGCCCCTGCGAAATATAAGATAATGCTTACTACAGGATTAGTCTTCACCGACTCCCAGTTTAAAGATACAACGTGAAATGATTGAGTGTGTTGACCACTTCACTTATTTGGGGAGTCGCATCAACCTTAACCATGGGTGTAGCCACGAGTATAGGCGTTAGCCTATGTTAAGATTACCAACTTACATTAAATTACATTGCTGTCGGTTGTTCAACGGTGGAACGCTCGTCAACCACACACATGATCCAGGGTTCGATCCCAAATCGACGCGCTCTTAAACTGCACCAAGCTGGCAGTAAGTCTGGTAAAGAGAAAAAGTTAAGGCGTAAGGCTAGCAACCTCACTGCGTAAGAGGAACAACACCAAAGCTACTCAAAACTTCAGCGCTCAAGCTTGAAGTTCTATGTTCCACGCAGAAAGCAAGGGAATACAAAAATTAGCCTTAATACGAAATTTCAGCACAGATACAAAAGGTATGTGTTGCATTTGTCAACATAAGTCATCTCTGGCGTAGACGGGATGTTTTTACTGCACAGCAGTTCTCCATTTCCTCATTTAGGTTTGTGACACATGGCTGTCGAAAGTGAAAGACATATCGTGACTGGCAGTTTTTGACTATAGGTATTTTCCGTTCTATCTCTCGTGGTAAATAGTATAATATGGTGAATAATATTGAGGTTAGATGCGTTGAATCTTAGGTAGAAAGACCTCAGTCGAGACAGTAAGATCTAATGGCTGGAGACTGTTGGTGACATGGACTGAAATCGTCCTTAGTGGCACAGATGCATTCACACTCTTTGAACTCCAGGATCTAATAAATTCTAATTATTATGCAAGTAATTATTCTCTCACCTCCTCCCCCTACATTTCCGCTTATTAAGACTCCTTAGCATTGTTTGTCGTTGCATTTGTGTGCTTTTATAAAATGTGGTTACTTTAACTACTACGGCACTTTTGTGCAAAGTTCTGCGTTGAAAACTCAATATCAACTTCCGCTTTAATCCACGTCACATGGGAATGTTTGTGTATTGTATTTGTTAATCGTAACGTGAACTTGTTTTCACAGTCTAGCATGTAGTGCTGTTCAACTGCTTGTCTGTCAGCGACAGTTCTGTGAAAAAAATCGATTATGCTTTAAACGATGTCGAAGTTTGTAGGGGTTTTTCAGTGTGGTTTACGCACAGCCCTACTGGGCATTAATAATAAGGTTGAGTATTACTGTCAGTTAGCTAAATATTTCAGCACCACACATAATTCAGTTTGTGTGGGTGCCGGAATACTTCCTGGACTCCAGACCGAAGCAGATGGTTGTCCTGAAGGTCCGGCACCAGAGCCTTTGACTTGAATTGTGATCCACAAGGCAGTAGAGCTAAGTCCGCATGGTTACCGGTGACCAAAAACAGGTTCATACACTGTTCAAATTCTGGAGCCCACGTCTACCTTAAGTTTTCAATCAGGATTTTCCAGCTCCCCTAGGTAGATACACCTGCATCTCCACCAGACCGGTTCGTATTCACCCTTTCACTTTTTTTGGGAATACTCTCGCGACCCGTGAAGACAGTGAATAGGACTTTTCTGATAGAGGCTGTGAATGCGATAGCAGCTTGCCTAACCACCCTCGGCCGTACCACGTGGTTTATGGGACTGCACAGGGCATACTATTCACATTATGATTTATTTACAAAAACTCTAATCATTCTTCTTCTCTGTGTTTTTTTCTTTACCTATGTTTATCCCCATTAGAACCTTCTGGCGTTAGTTGTGGGAGGAAGCCAAAACATGGATCCATCACGTCTGGTTACAGCTCTACAATGTTTGCTGCTCGTCTGTAAAATATTTCTTAGTCTTAATTGTCAGGTATGTGAATATATATATTGCATCAATTTGTTGTATCCCTACAGTTTTTTTACATAACCTCACTTTTATAATTTGAAGTGTTTTGTAGATAATTATTCTGTTGAAGAAGAACTTTTGGATGTAAAAATGTTACATTATCTGACTAACTATGCGCCAGCGCTGTCTATGTTCTGTCAGCGAAGTTTACAATGTTGTCACCAGGCTAGGCAACTGGCCATTGGGATGTACTCTGAATTGATGTTAGTTGGTTTTAGGCAAAAGTCAACAGAAGGCGCTCGACCTAAGTTTCGTGCTTATTGTAGCACTCCACCTCGAAGGAATTAAAATTTGAATCTGCGTCATCCAGTGCTGCTGTCAATGGCGTTACCACTAGGCTATCCGAGCCAGCCCAGATAGCCAATAATCAAGAAATCTATGTCCAGAGCATTCTTGACTATTGTCTGGCAATATTAAAGTGTAGCGACTCGGGTGAGAACGATCAACAAATTGACCTTGTACAACCCATCAGACGAGGCTCATTGAACCAAGTATCATTGTTGTTGAGTATTTGTACTCACACCCGACCTGCTGTACTCCACTGTGTGTTATGATAATACGCTTTTGGGAAGGACCCATTATCGAACGACTTGTGAGAAGCTAGAACAAAAACTATCCGCACAGACAAATGGATGGATTACAGACGGTTATTGTTATCCGACTATATTAACAACATTGTAAATCATTCTTTTGAGTTAGCTGATTCGTCGGGTGGCACGCACGCACACCAGTTACTTAGATCAAATCTGTAAAGCATTTGATTTGAGCCCATAAATTGGTTATGAAATGATATGATATACAGTCATCTCGATGAATTCATATACAGAAATTGGTTTGGAGTAACATTGAGAACAGCGTTGATGAACTGGAAGACATCTGTAGAACACATAAGGGGTCGTCATCCTGTATAACCATCTTACATTACGTAATTGATTTTCTGTGAAATTTTCTATTCAAACACCTTTGTTTTGGTCGCTTGCTTGCGTCTCCATAGTTTAGTCTAGCCGGTTTGCCTCTTATCACCTAACAATGCATTCATAAGCATAATTTAATAATTTCCATTGTAACATTAAGAACACAATATATCCAGCGTCGGTGGTACAGCGGTTAGGACGCTCTCCGACCATGCACATGGTCCGGGGCGTCGATCCCCGGTCGACGCACTCCTTTACCTCGCTAAGCCAGAAATAAAGCTGGTAAAGAGGAAAGGTTGGGTATGAGGTTAGCAACCCCATCCTGTAAAAATAAACATTGCTACAGAAACTTCAAGCCTCTAGCTTGAAGCCCTATGTTCCACTGGGGAACGTGAAGGATAAAAAAATATCCAGCGTGGAAACTTCAACGAATTTACTATCAGTATCTGTACGATAGTATGCATATATGGTTTTTTATGTTTTAAGAAATTATAACTCTTGAGGAAATTTAAACAAAGGTGTGAATAGATAAAATAATAATAATAGTAGTATGAAGTGCGATTAAAATGTTTGAGATTATAATCATAGTTAAATATCAAGTGTCAAGCGGTAAAACAAATAATGTCAGAAATAGAATAATTCATAGGATGCATGGGTGTTTGAAGGGGGTGTATAATTATAGGGTTAGAAGGCAAATATAAAACGTTACATAACATGGTGTGAAATTTGATAAGATAGAATTCAACACCGTTAAAAAAAGCTTTTTGGATTTAGAATGAAAAGTGGGACAAGTAAGAACTGTCCAAAGTGAGAATGAAGGAAAAAGGTACGTAGATATATAAATGTCTGTCCCTCTACAGTCAAGACAGCAGTAGGCACTGTACATACTTCTTTTGTGCACAAAGCTTTGGCTAAAATTCATGAATAGCCAAGGCCTCTACTGTCTTTAGAAAAAAGGCGACAAGTTAGCAGAAATTTGATAGATGATCTTAATATCATGGTCAGGGGTGGTGGTCATAGAGTAGTGACAGAAGTCGATCAAGTGTTTTCTAGAATAGAGCGTCGCATACCCTTCCTTTTCTCTCTTGTAAGACTATGCTAGAATATGTGTTCTCGTATCGTGTGTGTATGTGTGTAAAGCATTCTCTAGCCTACGGTCAATGTACCTTGCTCCACTAGAGCAAGTGAACTGATATAGATGCACATGAAGGAGGCGTCCAGACGAGGGAGCTTATCTTCTACAGAGACGGCGAACAACTTACGGTTGGTGAAGGTAGGTCATTTGTAGTTTTGCAGCAAAGAATATCTTGCACTAACTGACTTAGAGAGACGCGTTCTGAACATATCTGTGATGCCTGATCACCTTTGAATTCCAAATTCATAAATATGGTTTTCTTTGGAACTGAGTCTTTCATTTATATTGCATATTAGTTAATTTTCTGGAAGAAGTCATGGTTTGGTGTTCCTCTTGTCTACAAACGAAATCTTATCAGTACCCGGATGTATCGTGTGAGAAAAATGTGCACAACTGACACTCTAGACGATGAAATAAGGAAAATATAAAACTTTTTATATGAGAGTGGATACCCTGAAAAATTTGTTAAAGTCTTCACCAGGAGAACAGATTGAAAGAAATGCCTCCAAACGGCGCCGAAGAAGCGTATATGCATGACTTTACCGTCTAAAGGAGACGCATCTACTGAATTGTCGGCATCGAAATTACGAAAAATAATAGCTAAAACATTCTTTGCCGCAATACTATTTTTAAAGTTCGCCACTCGTTGCATAATTCCAACGCAGGTGAAGGATAAGCTATGTGCATTCATAGATCTAACTGTTCATGTGGAAACAGTTACATAAGTAGGTAGAACGACTCAGAAAGCCCACCGTCGCCTTCTGAACCATTGTCAGACGTGATTAATAAGGTAAAGGAGTTGTAGAGTCAATCAAAAGTTCCATACTGGTACACTTTGTAGTGGATACAGTGCACAAGATTGACAAAAAGTCAACTTTTACAATTCTATACAAGATGGTGTCACCTCAACTCCCTCCTAGGTTGGTACGTCTTCGTTTGCTAAGCATAGCATAGCTGAGGCAGTCGCCATAATGATTTTTCAACCCAATCTCTGTGTTCAGGAAAAGTCTGTTCAATCTCTCTCCTTCCCTTGGCCTTCACCCCCCCAACCTAAAATAGTTACCTCTCCCGGTGACACCAGATAACTGTAAATTTTATTTGTAATGCTAACTGTATATTATCAATATCATGCTGTGCTGTAGTTGCACATTTTTAAATCTCGGTTTCATAATCTACGATTATTATTATTTTTATTATATAATCTAATCGTTATGTGAAAATAGTTATTTTCCTCTCAAACCCTACTAGTATGCACATTCTACCTATACACCCACTGTTGCCTTGATTATATAAACATTTGAATGAATTCATCCTTGGTATTATTATTATGATCACCTCGATTGTTATCGATTAATTCACATCCCTGAACTCTAATCCAATATGACTAATACTTTATTATGTCACTGTGTAAAACCTGATGAAAATTTACCGAAAATGCATATTTGCTTGCTTTTAACCAACAACCGGTAGGTTCAAGAAACCGCTGGACTAAATCACTGCCGCCGCCTTCATTAATCTCCATTGCATTGACTTTTTTGATTTTCTCTTCTTCTTCTTATTATTATAAAACTTTCAAGGATTTACCAGAATTCTTTGAAGATAACATGCAAGATTGGATGTCATTTTTCCGTAGTCTGTTACAACTGAATTCATCGAGTCTTAATTTAACAACTACTAGCGGTGATAGCGGAGAAACCAATGGGATTGTTTTAGTTGAACAGATTAAATCACAAGTTTGTGATAATGCCAGCCTGTATGCATCAAAGTATGAACCAGAATTTGCTACATATCTGCCTGGATTTGTTACTGATGTCTGGGAAATGCTGTTGGGCACTGGTGCACAGACAAAATATGACTTGGTAGGTTCTGCGTTTTGCTTTTGTTTTTTGTTTTTGTTGTTTTGTTTGTTCCCTGGTTATTGTGTTATATAGTTATGCTAGTAATTATATGTTACTCAACAACAAAAACAACTAGCAAATTCATGCACAGTTAGTTGGCAATGAGCCAAACTTATTGTGCATGTGAAGTTAGCTCCCTTTAACCACAGATGTTTGCGTCCTATCTCCCGTGTTGGATAGTACAATATCGTGGGTGATATTGAAGTTAGGCTTCGTGTGCTTTTGGAAGTGTGTGGGTGGTTGTTACTTCCCGGCCGCCCACACCGTGGAAGTTTCTTGATTCTTTGGGTACCTGAAACAGAGAGAGGGTTAGTGTTTCGTCACCGCAGAGCCCAGGGGACAACTGCTTAAGGCCAGCCAGTCACACACGGCCTGTATGAACTGGTTTCTTGGTTTGGTTCCGTATTAGTAAACTTACCGCCGGTTACGGACCACCGTTCTAACCCCCTCTCTCCATCAGAGTGGAGAGAGAGAGACAGCATAGCTGGCAGGCTGGTCATCTGAAGGTGACATCTTACTTTTGTTACATCCCTGTTCCCCAGCAGTACGACTTCACCCAAAGACCCCCAGCATAGTGTAAGAAAGATTCTTACACAATGCCGGTAACTGCTTTTAGTCTAATCGCTATCCTAACAACCTCACTGGCATGGTAGGACCTGTAGGAACATTGGTTCCAGCCAGTGTAGCTTGTTGGGTCATCGCGATGTGCAAGCTCGACCACCACGTCAAGGTAGCAGATGTCTAGGACATGTGTTGCGCATACCGAGCTATCACCTTCTTCGACTGGTCAGTGTTACCCGATATAGGATTTGGTTGGAAAAATGTTGGGGTCGAGGTGGTCAGATAAAAACCTTCTATAAGAAAGAAACCTCACACACAAAGGGTCAAAGTTCAAGTCAAGGAAACAATCAATACCAATACAAGTAGCCTAGAGGGTGTGAAAACACACAAAAACAACCAATCACGTCCAAGGTCACCAGGAGAGATGACTAATAGTGAACTGGTGGAGAAATCTAAAAGCTCACTTCAAATTGAAGTATGCGCCGAAGATGTCGCCTAGTAGGGCGATGAAAGCTTCGCAAATTAACTATCCAGCTCAGAGAACATAACCACATGAAAATCATCCACCTGAGCTACAAATCTTCTCTGTCATATCTAATGTTATTACCCTGAGTGTAGCTTATACACACCCCACCATGCCATTATTGGTTATAGTTCATCAATGTTCTATGTTTTTGGTTTTTTTTCTTCAAATTTCTGTTATTCTAGCTTATTGGTAATGCGATCAACTTTCTGAGCTCTGTCATATCACGTCCACAACACAGATATCTTTTTGAGAATCCAGAAACGCTACAAAAACTTTGTGAAAAAGTCATTCTACCAAATATGCATTTTAGAGGTGAGTTGTCCCACCCCCGTCTCCCGTGAGGAGGGGTTATTTAGATATTTGTTGCCTACTTAATTTTACGCTTTATGTCTCAAAATATTTTACCCTTGTATCCGTAAGACACCGAGCTCCCATTACCCAACGTAGTGGTGGGGCCTCATTGCATTGCAGAACTTGACTGTTGTAAAATCCAAACAAAGGACTAGACGCCATGACCTAATGTCCAATCAAAGCATCCAATACAGTCTTATATTGGAGGTCAATTGCGAGCTCTGTGGTGGTAAGGTCTCTGACTACAGCACTTGGTGATGTGGGTTCGAACTAGATATAATAATACTAGTAATATCACTAGATGATTAAAAAGACAAAAGGTGAACGCCATTTGTAATTTTCAGTACATGTTATGTAGATGCATACAGCAAAGAAATAAATTGTATAAATCCCTTTTGAACAAAGGGTTAGATCATTTAGAATAGATTCGGATTGCCTTTCCTTTCTCTATGAAGTGGTTCGAGTGGTTGAAGCATGGAGAAAGATTAAATGAAATGTGAAAAGTTACTTTGAAAGCTGCGTTCGTCTCGACTTTGTTTTCTCGTATAAAAGCAAGGTTAGCTATTACGAAGCTATGTATCGCTTTAGTCGGCTGTTCGCTTAACCATCAGAAATGGTATTCACAAAAAATTAAATGAGAGACTCTCCTAATCGCACATTCAGTGTAATATGAGGAGAATAGCACAGCTGAGATACTCTCTGCTCCAACCAGTAGTGTGACTTGGCTTTCATAAAACCTAGCTTGACATCAGACATTTCTAATCCTATCCCTATCCATTTGACATAACTGGTACAAAACTTCGAGGAACAATTAATCTGTGCGTCGGTGGCACAGTGGTTAGTACTCTCGCCGACCATGCACATGGTCCGGGGTTTGATCCCCTGCCGGCGCACACCCGATATCTATGGTATGCCTGAATTTGGGCAACCGATATCCATGCTGAAAATTCCATACTTGTACTGAAAATACGGTGTGGAATCAAGCTGTAAATCAAAAAAAAATTATCATTCATCGTTCATTAATTCATGTTACTTTCAGAAAGGGGAGAAAGAAGGAGATCGCAACATGCTTACTATTCACTGCGATTTTCGGCCCTGTGTAATAACGTATCGAGCCACCAGATAAAATAATCTCTCCGACCTCAAGGAGGGAGTCGTGATTTACCAACAGACGCTAGCCTAACACAAATATCCTTCACTCAGTCTCAGGGCTAGCGAACAGGAGTCTCTGGGGTGACATTCATATCACATATGCAAGTCGCCGATGCTGATGTCCTTGAGATGACTAAATTTGACAGAAGGGGTGACCTTCAGTGTGTTCAAGCACACGCTGACGGATATAGGAATTACTTACACTGATGATATTATCGGATGCGAGCAGTCCATGGAGGCTGCGATGGTCGAATATGCAGAGTCGCCATCTGAGACCGCGAAGGGCAGCTTTCATAGGTGCAAAGCACGACTGCACAAGCCCAGACATTGTGAACCTGACTTTTGTCAGCCAGACTGTCAGTGCCAGAGGTAGCCCGAATAGCCGTATGTCGACCCAACCTCCACTATCCGGGCTAGGGTCCGTACGTCACACCGCCGCTAGCACTCACACAACTACCTAAATACACGAACTTGTCGACAACTTCAAGCAGTTCATCCACAAGGGCTTGTGCTTAGTGCAAAGCACATACTACACTTATAGGCACCTAAAAGTAATTGCATAAACAACTGTTGTCATGTCTTAGTCGATTAGTTAGACCTCAGTTACACAGGACAGGCGTTTCATGTACCAGAGTGTTGAACCGTCACATTTATTGTGTGAGGACTGATAACACTACGCAGTTGCTCAGTCTGAGAGAAATGCGATTCGGAGACCCATCCATCGAATGCTTGGGCCAGTGAACTACATCCCCTGAATATATATCTCATACAATTTTATTCATGTCTATATCCTATTCACTTCCTTATTTGTCTTGTTTTTAAATTACAGCTTTAGACGAAGAGCTGTTCACTGAAAGTCCTGATGAATATATACGCTTAGATTTAGAAGGATCGAATGCACAAACCCGTCGAAGAGCAGCCTGTAATCTTGTACATGTTTTGTGTGAAGCATTTGAAGGTCCTGTTGTGACTAATTTTTCAACTTATATTGAACACCTGTTAAACGAGTATGCTAATACCCCGAGTGGTGGGGCATGGACATCGAAAGATGCTGCTCTACTATTGGTTACATCAGTGGCAAGTCGTGGGAAAACAGAAAAGGTAACTGTTATTACTTTACTTCATTAATAAGATAAGCACTTTTTCTTAGTGAATAAGTATTATTATTTGGATGGATATCGCAAAGTCCTAGTGAGAAGTCGCGGTCAGTGGGGTTCATCTTGTCAAGGTGAGGTGGAGTGCTCATTGACGGCATACCACGAATTGACAGGAGTAATTAGAATTCATATGTCGGCAAATTCCCCTCACCCAGTTGCTGAATGGTCAACTAACTGGCCGCGTAATCTGATGGTTTCTGTTCCCATCCCCCGTGTCGTTGTGGGTGGGCACTGATGAAGAGTCCAGGAGACTAAAATGCGACAGTTGTCCAGTGCTCCCTGGTGTTCAGTAATACTCTATCTGATTTTGGTTCTTGACGAGGCGGGTGATTTCTTTTAAGTCAGCGCCTCCTCCACGAAATGCCTATTTTCGCTTGATTTAATGCCAGACATCAGTGAAAAAAAAATGTAATTCGCTTGCTTAGATGTGATGTGGTTTCATACACAACATTTTATCAACTGAGGTGTATATGATAACATTAAACAAGTTGGCTTGCAAGTAGTAATTGGTGTTGTAGATAAGAAATTCTCACCCCAGGAGAAATCTAGGCTCATCGGTGTTATCCCTAAACTCAATAGGCTCTGGTCTTGAATGCTTCTAACCTACTTCAGCCCTATAATATCACATCAAGTGCTGTTTATAGTCTGGTGACGACTGTCTTTCAATAAATGCTTGGAACATCAGCTTTGGTGGCTTGCATATATCTCGGCAAATGTTATCCCAGCTGCGCCAATACTGTTCATTGTTTGCTAGCCCTGAGACTGACTAGGTAGAAAATGAAGGGATGATTGGTTCACGATGTGGCACTGTCAGATGAGAGATAGTTGTTTCAGCTTAACATCTGTTAGTGCATTACAGCTCTCTGAGTTAGGTCGATGAAATAATTCTAATCTGTAGCTTGAGACGCCATCAGAGATGCCATTGAGAATTGAAATCACCGGTGAACATGTTGCCATTTCCCTGTATCTTCTCTTTCTGTGATAGTAACATGTGGGAGTGAGGTGTGCTGATTACATAATCTTGGTTAGTATGCTTAAATGTGTTCCTATTGATCTTGTTCCTCAGTTATTCTGTTTCTTTTCCATGTGTTGTATTTCATTGTGTTTAGTGTGTGTGTGTGTGTGCGTGCGCGGTGCATCTCTTGTTCATGCAAAAAGACGGTTGTAGCCAAGACGAAACTATTAACTAGGCTGTACATTTGTGAATATTTAACAAAGAGGTGAAAAGGTTCTAAAAGTACTTCCGATCAGAGGTCAAAATATAGAAAGAGTAATAAAATGAAGGTAAAATAGACGAAGTTCGGGTAAAAAAAGCCAGTCAGTTAATAATGATTTTCCGGTGAAAATCTCTTATTGCCCATATTGTAGTATGCGAACTACAGGGATCCCGTGTCTGAGACCATGAAACTGCATATTTATGTAGTTTATTGTTACTCCCGTAGGTTCCGAGTGGAACATAGGGCTTCAACACCACATCTCTAATTTCATCCTGTCCCCTGTAGTCCTCTTTAGCTAGCTGGCTCCACGGTTGACCATAGGTTCTCATCTCCTTCCCACCAAATCTCCATTATCTCACCCCCAGATGAACACCCAACCCGTTGTTTACCATTCGGGGGTTCTACGTGGGGGCGTGACTGGTGAGTGAGTGAGCAAGTGATGTCACTCAGCAGTCGGCTTTGATCCATCTCTATTTTATTCAGACCATTTGGTCTTCGAATGTAGCAAGAACAACAGTGGTTTTTGGAGAATAAAATGGTACCATCATTGTTTATTTCGTTGGCTTCTCATCAGCTGCTTACAGGCCAAAATCATTATTAAGTATATCTACAGAAACAATTTCAACATACTTGCACAGAGTTCACTTTTAAACAAAAATTAATCAATCAGTATATGCATACAATAATAATATAAATGTATAATAATAAACACTTTATCCCGAAAAATAATGAACATAAACAGTGGAAACTTTCATTATTACGTAATCAGATGAAAGAAATGGTGAAAATATCCAGTTACCAGTCAGGACAAGGAAAGACTGATAACCGCTTCTTTCTGAACGCATAAATCAGGTTTCAGGCGATTGATGGAGATGGCTTCGGCAAACTTGAGAAGAATTGATAATTTTGAACGATCTTCCGACGTCCACCTCATGGCCCGTGTCAAGGAGATGCCTGACGATGACACTTTAAAGCATTTGTTCCCTCTAGACATAGGCTCTGTGGTACATGTTCAGAAAATCTGAGGTATGCCCTTTTTTCTATCCTTCTAATGTAACTGCTCGCGCAGATACATGTAAATTTGTGTATACAATTGGAGTTGGAGTCTTCAATATCAAGCGCCGAGAGGTAGGGTAGGGCAGGTGTTGACTGCAGTCTTCAGTAGCCTGTTGAAAATACCTTGTGGTGACGCGGGCACGCCAAGTGTCTAAACCAGGTAGAAACGCTGACTGACTTGATATTTTTGTGCATATGATTGCGTAATATACCCCATGTAGCTTGTCTACAAGGTGTAGACATTGATGTTCTTCACATTTTAAAATCAATGCATCACAAGTTCCTAGTCTCACGCAGTATTTATATATAAAGCCGCTAATATTTGTATATCTTGATATGAGAGTATTCTAGTAACCGATTTATAAAATTAACTCTCTCTCTCTGTTTTCCCCCTATTATTATTGATTTTATTCAGCATGGTGTTACAATCTCTACGGGATTAGTTAACTTGACGACGTTTTTTGAAAATCATGTCCTACCTGAATTACAAAATCCTGATGGTAAGTTATTTCTCGGTGTGGTTGTTGTTCTTGTTCTGAGTTTACTCTTGGAGAATCCCTCTTTTTCTTTTCCACATCTGTTGCTCCCTGCTTGAATGTTGAGGACCGTGTGTGTGTTTGTGGTGGACATATTATCCCGAAATAATTCATATCTATAGCATATTCTAAAGTTAGTCTAGGTATTCGCTTTTCAGTCTCCAAGATTAGCTTTCCCTAAATTCATCCCATAAAGTTAGTTAGTTAGTGAGTCAGTTCAAACGCATTTATCCCCAAATTACTAGACTATAATTCACGCTTGTTGTTTTGTGGTCTAGTGATACTAATCAGTTGTCCAGACTGACGCGTAAGTGGAATGAGATTAGAACCCGACACCTTTCTGGCTGAAAGCCAAACCTCCGATCCATTCACAGAGGACAAGGATACGAATGAATCAGTAATTATTCGATTATACTCAGTTGTAATTCGCATTTATTATTTACACTGGGTACCGCTGTTGTTTAAGCTCAGTTCCTGGCACTGGCACTGGTCCTTCATGTTTCAGGCTATTATTATTTCCTTTAGTTCCTAGAGGAACATAGGGCTTCAGCCATGCGTCTCCATTGCGTTCGGTTCTCTGCTAGAGTTTTCACCTGGCTCCAAGTCTGCCCATACGCTTTCAATTCTTCTTCACATGATCTCCTCCAGGTCACCCTTGGACGACCAACTCGTCGCTTCCCTTTCGGGTTCCACTCGAGCAATGGCTTGTCTAGTGATGTCACTTGATGGTTTCCCCAGAGTATGGCCAATCCATCTCCATTTCTTCTTGCCTATTTGTTTCACAATCGGTCCCTGCAGCGTTGGTTTCCTTGAGAGTAATGAAAACTTGCCTTGCTTTCCTGATCCTTGCTTTGATATCCTCGTCAGTTCCGCCTGTAGTTGAAACAATGCTTCCCAGATAGGTAAAAGAGGTAGTTTCTTTCAGGTTCCTTCCATTTATGCTGATTGCTGTCTGTTGTTGTTGCTGTGGCTGTTGGTGTTGGCCAGGAATCTTCATCACCTCTGTTTGATCTTTGTTCACCTGAAGTCCTATCTTTGATGCTTCTTCTGCTAACTTGTTGCTTTTCGCTTGCATATCTTCCAGTTTTTGGGAAATCAGACATATATCATCGGCGAAGTCCATATCCTCCAAGTTTTTTGTGTGTGTCCATTTTATGCTTGTTTCCTCATTACCCACTGTTTGTTGCATTATCCAGTCTACTGCAACCAGGAAAATCATTGGCGATAGTAGGCAGCCAGATTGTATTACTCCTGTCCTCACTTCGAAGGGTTCCGTAATTTTCCCGTTGTGGATTACTTGGCATGCAGCATTGTCGTATAGCTGTTGGATGAGATGTATTATTGTCAGTGGCACCCCATAGTAGCGAAGTAGTTTCCAAATCACCTCTCGATCGACGCTGTCAAAGGCCTTTTCAAAGTCGATGAAGTTGAGATAGAGAGGTGACTGCCACTCCAAGCTTTGTTCAATGATGATCCGTAGTGTGGCGATTTGATCAATTTGATCAGGCTATACGGCACACTTATTGTGTGGTGGGGGCTGATGACACTGCCCAGGCGAAGTGGGCTGAAAGTCTAGTGCATACGCTAATAAGCTATCCCAGTAGCTGAACCTGAGGGTCTTGGGTTCGATTCCTGTTAGGGTCATGAGCACGTACTGTTGAAGAGTTCGGCAGTAGGATGAAACAGTTATCCCGTACTCCCTGATGTTTGGGTCCTCCTGACTGAATGGTCTACTACCCTCCCTTGTAACGTGAGGACCCTGGGGTTCGAGCCCCAGTGGGTACGTACTGCTGGAGAGTACCAAAGAAGAGTTACATTACTATACATTTACTCAATATTGAAGAAATTGTTAATCATTGATGAGTTTCCTGTTTTTGTACACCTTTCTTTTTCTTTCTCCCATTAGTTAATTACTTGCCTGTAATTAAAGCCGATTGTCTACGTTATGCAATCGCTTTCCGATCTCTACTCCCACCAATGGCTTTAGTCAGCCTGTTAAATATGACGCCTAACTTAGTGATGGCTGCAGCAACGGTTGTACAAAGTTATGTGGCTGCTGTAATTGATAAACTACTCGCTATGCGACGACCAGATTCACCATCAGAACCTTTGTAAGTAATAATCCCATTTTCAACTTGTGTTTCGTTTTTATTAGCTCTCAATGTTTAATTTTATCCTCTGTATGCATTATTAAAGTAATCTGCTGAGTGGTAACTAGGAGTTGGTGTACGGATTCATATTTCGTTCTATTTGAGGCCCGTCAGCTAGATGCTCCTAGTGAGCATTACTGTTCCTACTGAGACTCGAACCCTGATGCCATCATTCCAAACGTCACAAAGTTTTATCTGCTAGAGTACTTAGGCGACAAGTGCCACCGTTTGTCTTGTTCAACGGTTATCAGTTATGATTTGTTTAAGTGAATTTCTGATTTTTCCCACCACCATTCATCAGATTACTTCAAGCTAATCCTCAGATACCGCTGAGGCGTGTCCGTTCTAGGCGCTGGTGTGTCAACAGAAACCGAACATTTCGATACAATCAATCAGAGGTGGGGTAGGGGGGGAATCACAGATCTACTCAAACAAAACATATACATTAATTATTGAGAAGTTAAACCGGCTAGCTCCCTTTTCAAGATAAGTAGACGCAACTTGCGTGAATCATGTATATGTGCTAAACAAGGCGCTCTAATTATACAGACCCTTGAAAAATTAAAAAGTTTATATAACTTCATAACGTTTCATCGGGGATTCATAACAGAGGCACAATGTAGGATGTACCATGCAGTCAAGCTCTTACTCATGGAGAAAATGGCTGACTGCATTTGAATGGCTATTACCACATCCTACTGTGAATACCAATTCACATGCATGCTTCGTTACATATACACATAGAAAGGATTCAAAGGCTCTACAAAAGCTAGAACTACGTGGAGCACACTCCAAAGTGGCTGCAAGAGTAAATCAAATCAAATTACAGAAAATACCCTTCAAGATATTAGAGAGAAGAGAGCAAGACACTGGGCGAATTCATCCTCGAAGCAGAGCTGTACAATCGTATTTTTTTATACATAATTTTACAATTTTACGACTACTATTTAGTTAAACAGACAGAACTAGATCCATGGTATATGTGGGATTTGGACTAGTTTCTTTTGAAAATACATAACTCCAACTTCTTGATGTTATATGACGATGACTTCTGTAATACAAGGAAAAGTTGGAAACATACTGCCTTTGGCAGATTTTTGTTTACTTTGCAAATGACTCTGATTGACAAGTCTGTTGAAGTACTGTGCCAAGTGCTTGACAAACTTCTTGTGCGTTGGTGGCACAGCGGTTAGAACGCTCGCCGACCATGCACACATGGTCCGGAGTTCGATCCCTGGTTGACACACACGCACACACACACACTTGATATCAATTGTCGGCCTGCTAAATTTGGCCTACCGATATCATACGCTGAAAATTCTGAAAATACGCTGAAAACAGTGTACTAAAAATACTGTGTGGAATCAAGCTATAATAAAAAAATAAAAATATATAGTGTTCGATTATGATGCTTCTGATTGAACGAGTGGTGCCACCTCTTTGCAACTACATCCGGGTATTGTATTCTATTCCTATATGATTTCGTTTCTATGCCCCTTGTGATCTATATATTCACACCCTCAAAGTTTCATATCAAGTTGAAATTTATTATCAACACTAATAATAGTGATAACGCTTCTTTCAAAATCCATTTCTAAAACGTAATTTTGGTCAGACATGTTTAGTTTTCTTACTGAAGCGTTAGATATCAAAAGGCTTAAATCGAGTTTTACGTGTTTAGACATTCTTCGTTATCACGTGGAACCCCAACTGTGTCCATCTTGGTGATCCAGTTTTAAAATCAAGAGTTATTTATGTATCAGTGTTTTGACCCCTACATTGATTTAATTTTAACCTTTTTATACGGTATGAACCTTTATACTTAATTGCATGTATGATAAAGTACGTGTGTAATCCGATTGTTTAAAATGTGTTGCACAGCACAGATAAATAACATCTTACTATTGAGAATTATAATAAAAAATTAGGGGGGGGGGGAATTCGCCAATATAGGTCACCTCTAGTCCCGTCGAGATGTGTCTGTTCAGGTTTACAATGCTTCAGTGCACGCAGTTAATTTTGTTGTACGCCTGTGAAACCCAGCCTCTCCGAACTGTGGATGTGCTACGAGCCTATGTATTCTATCATCACTGTCTCCGTAGAATTGCTTGCGTTCGATGGCATCTCATCGTGTAAGTAATTCTGAGCTCCGTCAGCGTGTATTTGAACATGGTGTGGAGATGATCGGTGATTGGATGTATTCATCTTGAAACATCAGCTTCGGTGGCTTCGACATGTTGTGTTACGACTGTCATCCCAGAAGCCTCTCATGCCGGTCTCTGCTCGTTAGCCTTGGGACTGGATGGAAAAAGTTGGTAGGTCGCTGGTATATGACCTGATATCGTGAGATGAAGGTTTATTTGTTAGCTTGTTGGGTTTGCATCCGTTGGTATATCACGACTCTCGAGTGACAGTTCGAATCGGTGGTTTTGGTCTTATTATTTCCGTGTAGCGCATTTCTCTTGGTGCCCATTTAAATGAATCAATAAATAAGTCGCTATTAAGAATAACATTTAGGCGATAAGCAATTGGTACTTTTTTTACCAATAAAATGACCAATAATCAGGTTGTTTAGTTACTTTTCATATACTCTTTCGTATAGGTTAGGTGGTCATCTCCGTTCACTGAGATGCACCTAAAAAGGAAGGTATGCTCAACAGGACCGTGATCCTGTCTAATTTCAATTGTACTTGCCTTGTCTTGCCTTCCATCACCAAACAAATGTGGTATAAGAAATTCTGTAGTTCATGATTATGCTTGATAATTATCATTAATGTTGTATGATCATCAGACTGGATGGTGTCATTTTATCTCGTAGTCACGAGGTATTTGTTTTTCTCTCTCTCTCTAAAAATCTGTGATAACATTGAGACTGAATGATATTGTCAAGTTATCACCTTCCTCTAATGGTCGGGGTCATTTTGTCAGAAAATGGAAATATCTGATTGGTGGTAGTTTTTAGCATATATATATGCACAGTGGTTAGGACTCGCGCCGACCACGCACATGGTCCGAGGTTCGATCCCCGGCCGACGCACACCCAATATCTATGGTCGGCCTGCAAAATTTGGGCTACCGATATCCGTGCTGAAAATTCCATACTTGTACTGAAAATATGGTGTGGCATCAAGCTGTAACCAAAATAAAAAAATAAAAAAAATGCATACAGCATACTTCAGAGAAATTATAGCGACCAATGCAAATTAACTCTATTATTATTATTATTGTTCCCTTGGGTTCCTAGTACAACATAGGGCTTCAACTGCACGTCTCCACTTGCTTCTGTCTTCTGCTGTACTTTTCACCTGCATCCATGTTAGTCCACACTGTTTCAACTCCTCTTCACACGATCTCCTCCATGTCACCCTTGGACGTCCCACTCACCGCTTCCCTTTCGGGTTCCACTCGAGCAATGGTCTGACGCGCGATGTCACCCAGCGGCCTCCTCAGCGAGTGTCCAATCCATCTCCACTTTCTCCTGCATATTTGTTGTTGTTTTGTTTGTCCCCATAGTTTCTTGTTGGCGATTGTTTCCGGCCATCTGATCTTCAGTATAGAACGAAAACAGCTGTTGATAAAGGTCTGCAACAGGCTGTTGGAAATATTCTTTGTGACCCGCCAAGAAATTAACTCTAGGATGTCGAAAAAACTCTCAGAACATAACCAATCCCAGTGTGAGGATAAGCAAAAAAGATGACGGCCTGCTTAAAACTTGGGCTGCCAAAAATCCTCCATCGATATAATTTGCATATAATTCCTCTCATTCAGTTTGTTCAAATCTAATAGTATTTTTTACTATGGCGAGTATTTGAAACATTTACAACCTGCGATTTTTACAAGTTCCTACTAAACATAAGAAAAGCATTATCCTGTATGGACAACAGCTTATCCTGACACATGAGATGACCGTTCCTGAGTGGTGTCCTTGGTTCACCAAAGCGTACTCTTGGTCTCTTTATAATTGACATTCAACAAATATCGTCGTGTATTTCTTCGAAGGAGAGAGAAAGATGTATCACCGTGATGGCTTCGTTTGCGCTTCAGGTCAGATAGAACTGTGTGCCACACGATCTCTACTGTCAATCAATCTTTTTGTATTTGAAGATCCTGGACGAAGAGAAAATATTAAGTAGTAATAAACTGCGCTGAAAAAAATTCTGTACATTATTTAAACATTAGAAGATAATTGGTGGATGGTGACTAGCAGTGGAATTCAGGACAATGCGCACTTTGTCCTATTAGGGACTCGTCTACTGGACGTACCTGCATTCCGCAGTGAGTGATGTTCCCACCGTGGATCGAACCCAGTGTCCATAGTTTCAAACGCCAAAATCGCATTATCCACTGGACCACTTGGGCCACAAGAGAGCCACCACCTCTTGTGCAACGGGTCATATTTAATTATTTAATTCAGTATTTTAGATTTTTTTTCCCGTCGATTGATTCGACCGAAATCGGATGAAATGAGCGTTATCCCGGATTCCAAGCACTGCTAGTCACCATCCACCAATTAACTTCTAATTACATGCCCCAGATATCGTCAAAACATCTGCACAAGAAGCCGACAGACATGTCAACCTAAGACCGAGCACTTCGGTCCCGATCAATTGAGGGGAAAGTCTAAGATCGAATGAAATTACATAAACGTTGTTTAGAATAAAGCTGTTACTATTACTATTATTATAATTACTATTTTATCCTTCATGGAGAATTCCAAAATAGACTCATTTCACGCGCTGTGTATGATGAATGCTGAATCGATTGTCTAGGAAGACAACGATAGTTTCACAATTCAGCGTTAATCAGTCAACCACAATAGAATAGGGGGCTTTCAAAGTGTTTATTCATACACACGTTTTATATTAATAAAATTTTAAAATCCATAATTTCTAAATACTATATTATAAATTATTACAAGTATTTTGTTTGTTTCTGAATTGTTTTTTTTGAAAAAATATTTTTGAACAGAATATTGAAAGAACAAGTGGCAGATCCTCAGTTATTGATTGATCGATTATTAGCTATACTCAATAATCCAGAGTGTTGTGAAAGTGTTTATGTGATGAGAGGTAATTCGGTTTTCTGTTTTTTGCTTTATTTTATTTTCACTTTTCATAAACAAAGTGTGTTTTTATTGACCCGATAAAAATGTGTTCACTTGTTGCTAGGTGCTGAAGTATCAGGGTTTTATGATAAAAAAGGAACTTTAGCGCAACGGTTTCCTCTCTACTTGATGTCATGTCGGTCGCCCTGGTCATCGGATAGCCTGATGGTGCCTCATGTAGCAGACACGCATCATGTTTATGTGTGTAATTTTCATGTCCAATTTCATATCTTCAAATCATACTATGAGTCCTAAGGTTGATGATTGCATCACCTGTTGAGTATATATCATCTCAGTAGTTTCCCTCCTGCATTTGGTGTTTTGTCAGTGTTAAGGTGGTCTGTCTGTCTGTCTGGATTCAACATAGAACTTGGCACTGAAGTGCAGCAGTTCGAGTTGCCACGTTCCAAATAGCACACAAAGGTAGACAAGAAGATGAGTGATGAAGAGAATCAATAGAGTTTTGACAAGTATAAGAGTAAAACAGAATGAGTAATGGTAGAAAGGAATATGAAAGATTACAGAGACTGAATACACCTGCGTAAGCCATTGACAGCGATTTTGAACCATGTCACCTATTGTCCCCAGCCATTGATTCTTAGAGTCCTGAGGGCCCCAACCCGGAAGTCTGCACCTCCCTCCCTAACTGACTCAGTTTAACTATCAAGGATTTCATGGATTGATGAGGCCATGTTTTTGTTTGGCCACCACTTACTCTTTTCCAACCTGCACCCATATCAGCTAGTAATGCCCGTTTGGATGGGGGGAGGCGATGGTTAGGCATGCGCAGCACGTGACCTAGCCACCTCAATATGTAACTTTATAGCCTCTTCGACTGATTTTCCCTCTTTGCCCAACACTCTACGCCTAACGTCAACATTACTTACCCTATTATACCACCTAACGTGAGAAAGAGATCGTAGACATCTATGATCAAAAACAGTCAACCTTTTCATGTCTTCAACTCGTATTGGCCATGTTTCAGAGCCATAGAGAAGGACGGAGGGAACTTCTGAGCAGTACACACGTTCCTTGATTGATAGCCAGATGTCACGCCTACGCCCGCAAGAGATGGTGTAAGTTAGCGAAAGCAGCTCGAGCTTTTTGGATCCGTGCTGAGATTTCGTCACCAATCAATCCGTTGGTGCTGATACAACTTCCCAAATAGGTGAAGTGGTCAACATGTTCTATCACTTCACTCCCTATCACTAAGCTAGGAGTTAACGTAGGTGGTGGACATGATGTGTTAATGTGGACAGAGAACTCAGCTCAGTGAGCCGAAATCTTGTGTGTGTGTGTGTGTCTGTATGTGTGCATGCTTAGCATCTGTTGGTGCACGAAAGACTCTTTGGATCGCGCAACCTATGTGATGGTCATATTCGGCAGAAAGTCGAAATCAGTGCACTATTTTCTCTCATCTATTGATTGAAACATAAATTTGGTACATTTAAGGAGCAACAAGAGGTGTGCCGCACAAAATCTCATCATTTGTGCGTGGGCTGACATACTTACTAGTCGAAACGCTCATATCGAAGCAAGTGGTTGTCTTATTGGGTGCTCACAAGCTAAGGCAATGGGGCAGTCGTAGTTTTTGTTCACTAAAACAGGTTCCTACGCCACTTAATGATACTTTCATATTATGAGGCTCATGTACTACGCATCATAAGTTTGAGATCAGGTTTCCCTCCAGCTCTTTTCTAGTTAGACTAACATTTCACTGGTCGTTCGCATTCTCTCCTTCACTTTTGTGAGGATCACTTCCACCATTTATGGAGGTGGCACCGATGATGAATAGGACTTACCTGACTGACAAGCTATGAAGGTGTGTGGCCAAATGAAAAAGAAAACCAAAGTCTCTACCCACCCTCGTGCTTATCGTACCAGGTTGTTGATGGAGTAAAAAAAAGATACTATCGTTGTATTGAAAGTCATGTTTTTGTTCTCTGTCAAAAAAGCAAAACAGTCTAGTTTATTTCTTAATTCTATGATCTTAGATGTGGAAAATTTTAATTTAATCCATGACTCTTTAAGTCCTGTAAGTATCTTGATCCATTCCACATCGGCGAATTGACAAGAGGTGGAATTCTCGGGCTAGTGGGCGTACGTTTCTACCTGGAGATAGATCCTAATCCCAAACCCTAGAATAGATTCATGATGCATGGATGATATGCAGTATTGTATAATTTTCAATAATTCTATAAAAATCCCGATCAGTTTTTGATCAAATCCATTGGAACACCGTGTCATACAACAGAAATATCGATCTTCATCAGATGGCCGGAAAGAATCACCAACAAGAAACTATGGGAACAAACAAAACAAGAACCAATTGCTCAACAAATATGCAGGAGAAAGTGGAGATGGATTGGACACTCGCTGAGGAGGCCGCGCGTCAGGCCATTGCTCGAGTGGAACCCGAAAGGGAAGCGGCGATTGGGACGTCAGTGCAAGGGTGACATGGAGGAGATCGTATGAAGAAGAGTTGAAACAGTATGGATTAACATGGATGCAGGTGAAAAGTACAGTAGAAGACAGAATCAAGTAGCGACGTGCAGTTGAAGCCCTATGTTGTACTAGGAACTCAAGGGAACAATAATAATAATAATCATAGTGTACTATGTATATATTTCAATATTGTATACACTTTGTTAACCCAGTAAAGTAACACCTGCATTCTTCACTGGATAAATCACAAATTTCGTTTTCTTTTTTTCAATTCATCCCTAATTATTATTTGAATGTTTTGCTTAGCTCTAATGAGAGTCTGTTGTTGCCTACAAGAACGTTGTCTCCCATCAATGAACAATCTTGTCACTACACTATTGGCTCGTCTTACTCAGGTTACAAAGGTTAGTTATTGTTGTTGTTGTATATCAAATATATGTACATATTTTCGATTTATTTAAAGCTTCATGTGTGTTCATATGTTTGTATATATGTATATATATATATATATAATACGTTGACAATCTGTGTGTATGGTCCTGGTTTTATACTGTCGTTTTGTTGTACTGCTATGTTACACCACCACTTAAGACTTATATTTCCACTAATTTAAATATCCTTAAAATAATCTATGTACACACACAAAAAACTTGGAGGATCTGGACTTCGCCGATGATGTCCGATATGTCTGATTTCCCACAAACTGGAAGATATGCAAGCAAAAAGCAACAAGTTGGCAGAAGAAGCATCCAGAGAAGATAGGACTTCAGGTGAACATAGAGAAAACAGGGGTAGGTGATGAAGATTCCTGGGCAACACCAGCAACAACAGACAACGACCAGCATAAATAGGGGGAACCTGAAAGAAACAACCTCTTTTACCTACCCACCTGGGAAGCATTGTTTCAACTATAGGCGGCGTAACTGACGAGGATATCAAAGCAAGGATCAGGAAAGCAAGACAAGCTGTGTGGAGGTCAACAGCACTCAGCCTGAAAGTGAAAATAAGATCCGGATTTTCCACTCCAATGTGGAGTCACTCAGTGCTACTATACGGATCAGGTCGGTCGGTCGGTTTTCGACATAGAACTTTGCACATATGTGCGGCAGTTCAAGTCGCCACAATCTATGTAGCACGCAAAGCAAGAGAAGAAAGTAGAAGAAATGCATAATATAGACAGTAAACAGAGGTGTGAGACAAAGGAATAGTAATAACGGAGAACAAAACAGTTTCATTGGAAATCATAAGTCACAAGGAGTGGATGCATCTGCGCCACTAAGAACGATTTTGAGCCATGTCACCAATTGTTTCCAACCATTGGTTTTTACCATCCCGAGGGCCCCAACCAGGAAGTCTACATCTTCCTACGTGGCTTAGATTAACTGTTGTGGATTTCATTGATTGGTGCCATGTTTTGGTTTGACCGCCGCTAGCTCTTTTCCAGCCTGACCCTATATCAGCTAACATTGCCCGTCGAGGAAGGCGATGACTAGGCATACGTAGCACATGTCCTAACCATCTCAGTCGAAGTAATTTCACAGTCTCGTCGATTGATTTCCCCGCCTTACCTAGCACTCGACGCCTAACCTCAATATTGCTCACCTTATTATGCCACTTCACGCGGGAGATAGAACGCAGACACCTATGATCGAAGACAGCTAATCTTTTCATGTCTTCTGCTCTCAATGGCCAGGTCTCACAGCCATAAAGGAGGACGGAGCGGACTGTTGAGCAGTACACACGCCCTTTGGTCGATAGTCGGATATCGCGTCTACGCCAGAGACGGCGAAAACTGGCGAAAGCGAACCTAGCCCTCTGTATTCGTGCTGAAATTTCGTCGGAGATCAACCCGTTGGGGCTGATGGTACTTCCCAAGTAAGTGAAGCGGTCAACGTGTTCTACCACTTCACTTCCTATTTCTAATCTAGGGGTCGATGAAGTCCAATCCTGCAGCATCATCTTACATTTTATAGGGGCGAATCGCATGCCAAACATGCGGAGATTGTTGCTCAGGGTGTTCAGTAGACTCTGCATTTTGTCAGAGTCCTCGCCTAGAAGGACTATATCGTCCGCATATTCTAAGTCAACGAGATTCTCCCCTGGTAGCAAGTCAATCCCTGAGTCGCTGAAGTGAGTTAGGGTTAAGCCCATTAGTACATCTATGATGAAATTGAATAGGAATGGGGATAATGGGCATCCTTGACGGACGCCACTAGTCGTCACCACTTCAGATGACAACTCGCCATAAGCCCTCACCTGGCTGCATGAGTACGAGTAGAGTGCCTTAATCAGTGCAATGTATTTTCTCGGCATTCCCTTTACAGCCAAGCATCGCCAGAGAACCTCCCGGTCGACAGAATCGAATGCCGGATCAGAGACTTGGCCAGCGCGACATCAAGAGCATCTCAAACAAACTACAGACCTTCATTAACAGTTGTCTTCGCTCAATACTCAAGATCAGATGGCCGGCCAGATAAGATCAGCAACAGAGATCTCCGGCAATGAGCGAACCACCCCAGCAGGAACCGATTGTGAAACAAATATGCAGGAAGAAATGGAGGTGGATTGGCCATACTCTGAGGAAATAAACCACCAAGTGACATCACTAGACAAGCACTTGAGTGGAACTCGAAAGGGATGCGGCGAGTTGGTCCTCAGTGCAAGAGTGGGTGACTTGGAGGAGGTCATGTGAAGAGGAGATGAAAACGTGTGGGCAGACTTGGAGCCAGGTGAAGACTCTAGCAGAGAACAGAACGCAATGGAGACGCACGGCTGAAGCCCTATGTTCCTGTAGGAATTAAAGAAAATAATAATAATATAGCATGAATAATTGATGAGGCTGAATTGCATGTTAGAGACTCTGTTTGATTTTACATCTTTAGTGGCTTTTTTATGGGGATGGGTTTGCTAGCCTCTTGCCCAACCTTCCCTCTTATTGCTGGCTTAGCGAGGTAAATGAGTGCGTCAGTGGCTGGGGATCGAACCCCAAATCACCTGCTTGGTTGGCGAGCATTCTACCGATGCACTTCTTACAACTTAGACTGTAATAATTAAAATAGATAAAAGAAATTATAAGTGTTATGAAAACTAACTATTTCATTAATTGTCATTGAGAAAATCAAGAGAAAAAACAAAGCTCACAAGAAAAGGGGAAAAAAACTGGTAGTGTGGAACCATTGACCATAACATAACTTAGCGATTGAAACGTTCACCCCCACTCCAAAAGTAGTGTCGTAGAGGTATATAGACGACACATTCACTGTACTCAGAACTCTGGATATAAATAGATTTTTCGAACACAACTCAAAGGTGGAGGTAATTCTATTCACTTATGAGTCGCAAAGTCAGGAAGGAGGGGGGCTTCCAATGTTAGATTGTAGTGTAAAAAGGAAAGAAGGTGGGAAGTTAAACACAATAGTGTGTTTACAGGAAATCCACACATTCAAACAGATATTTGGACTTCCGGTCATCCCATCCTATGTCAGTCAAAATAGAATTGGTGAAGTGTTTAAGTAGTAGGGTACAAAAACTAAGTAGTACCAAGCGAAATCTAAGACAGGAAGTGAGACATTTGAGATATGCTTTGAATCTTAATAATTACCCTGATAAATTAATCAGGAATTATGTAAGGAAATGTAAAAATAAAATAAATAATGATAGTAGTGATAATACTTATAATGATGTTAATGATGTCATGTATGTCAACCATGCACAGGATAATGACAACACCAACAATAGGGAATCTAAATCATCAGTAGTACTTCCATCCAAAGAAGGAACCTCGGAAACCTTATGGCGAAGAATTCTTAACAATACAGGCAGGAACAAAAGTGACTGGCATTCAAACCAACCACAAACTCAATTAGAAACAAGCTTTGTCGGTTAAAGGATCCTGTAGAGCCGTTAAAACAAAACAATATAGTTTACCTGATACCCTGCAATGATTGTCAGGTCAAATACATAGGTCAAAGTAACAGAACTATAAAACTTAAGTTATGAATTCGTGTGATTATAATTCATATGGTTATGATCCACAATGAAGTGTATTCGAAACTGTGTCATCCAGTAAATGATACTTTTTCACTGTGTGTGATATATCTAATAAACAAACCAATGTGAAATTACTTACTACAACAGTGCCCAAGTTTTACACATATATTAAGAATATAAGGCGTTTTACCATATACAAAAGGGATATATGAAACTCTGTATGTAGAGTTCTTAATAAATCAGGGATTAGGGTGGTGGCATTTTTAAGCATCTCTGCACACTCACTTCGTGATATTGGCTCTTGTAGGTTCATCCACTTAGACAAAATACCTTGCAATGGTTGCAAGATCAACAACTACGTGGGTTAGACCAAGTCACTCGTGATCAAATCAGGTTATCGTAACATAAGGATTCAGCTAAGTGTGGAATGATCAACTCCACGAAGATGAATAGTCTAGAGAAAGACTCAGCACAATCGCAATGCATTTAATGGTACACAATAGGGGATGGGGGACAGAGCTACATGTCTGACAGGTAATATAGGTAAAAGAAGGGAGAGGTTGATCACTCATTATATATATATATATATATATATATATATATATATATAAAGAGAGGTTTCGCGTGCATTTCGGATTGTGAGGGCGGTTGTTACTTCCCGGCTGCCCACACCGTGGAAGTTGGTTGCGTGACCGCAGAGCCCAGGGGACAACTGCTTGAGGCCGGTCACACACGGCCTGTTTTTGTTTGTTCTTTTTTATTTGGTGTGTCTCAGTAGCATATTTATCACTTCTGCCCTGTGACACGGCGGCAGGAAGAGTGGTCGTTGTTAATCCGGGCCCCGACCGATCCGGCATGATATTTTGCAGTTTTGAGTCATAGCATTGGATTGGGTAGCTGCTTTTTGTCTAACCGCTATCCAAACAACCTTTCTGGCATGGTAGGACCTACAGGAACATAAGTTCCAGCCAGTGTAGCTCGTTGGGTCATTGCGATATGCAAGCCCGACCACCACGTCAAGGTAGCAGCTTTCGGTCGGGATGTATATATAAACTGCTGGACCAACCAGCAACTGATTGCTCAACAAATATGCGGAATGAAATAAGAAGGGATTGGATTCACTGGAGAGGGAGACTGTTAGGTGATATCGCGCGTTAGGTCTTCGACTGCAACCCGGATAGGAAACAACGAGTTGAGCGGCACTTCGAGGGTAACATTGAGGAGATCGTATCAAGAGGAGGAGGAGGAGATGAGAGACTATGGGCAATCGATGGGCCAACTAAAGAGGACGGCAGAGAACCAGAGGAAATGGGGATGTGCTGTTGAGGTTCTATGTCCCACTCGGAATCCAATGGAATAATAATAATAATATGAACAGCTACACTCCTATTTCTCCATTTGTGAAATGAGTTTTTATCAACCAAGATTAGTATTCCTTAGGGACTGTGTGTGTTGTGTGTTTTAAAGTCGTGTTATGACACAATTTGTAATTGTAGGTATATTATATTATAGTAACATTGTGTATCCCTGACGCAAACGGTGCCATACAAAGTACTGGTTTGTCAAATATGGAGTAGGAAATGGAAATGAATTGGGCATACGCTGAGGAGACTGTCGAACAACATCACACACCAAGCTATTGGAATCGAATGGAACCCGAATGAGAAACAACGAGTTAGGTATGTGTCCGAGAGTAACTCAGAAGAAATCAGAGACTATGAGCAATCGTGGGATCGGTTAAAGAGGGCCGCATAAAATAGGTCAAAGTGGAAATATGTTGTTGAAGTCCTATGTTCCACTCGGAACCCAAGGGAACAATAGTAATAATAACAATATTATATTGTTTACATATAGATGGAATTATTATTACTTAACTTTTACCACACTCTACACGCTACTTTCAATGTATGTCCACTTATTTACACCCCCCCTATTTTTGGTTATTGTCATTTAGAATCCTTCGAAACCAGATTTTAATCATTTCTTATTTGAAACAATATGCTTGTGCATTCGGTTAACATGTGCAGCGGATCCTAACTCTGTTGTACACTTTGAAGCAGCATTTCTACCAATTTTCCAGGATATTCTACAACAAGATGTTGTGGGTAAGTGGGTTGTTTTTGTTGTTGTTATCGAAGAAATAACATTGAGGCATTCTTACACCGAAATTCCAAGATGTCTATGCAAATAGATTGTGAATCGACAAAGTGTCCATTTAGGGTTAGCCCATCTCTAATTGTATTGAATCAATTCAACTGCCCCCTATTCCACCTTCTTGTGGAACCATTTATATTTTGACCATTGCCCTAGGAATTTGATTTTTCTTGTTCAGGAACACCTACCACAGTGTTTACCTAGATGAAGATGTTTGTAGTTCGATATTAGACCACAATCATTCGGTACCAAAAATACATTGACAGAAGCTCCCAGTGATCGGATACTCTGAACACCAGAGGTGACTACAATTCGCCTAAAATACCCGAGAGCTCTGTGTGTGTGCAAAAAGGAATATGGTTCAAGCAGCCACTGTTGTGCTACCCCCACCCTGGGCCTGCTTTCTTTCTCAGTTCATCTGATATTCAATTTAGTGTAACTGTGTATAGTGCCCGATGAAGGGAAAGTTATCGAAAAAGAGAATATGCTTGTTCATGAATCAGTCTTTTAAGATTTTTCACCGGCATTTTTAGTCAATAATTTTAATGAAAAATTTTATGTATTAACTGTTTTTGTCTACACCTTGTTGTGCACTAAGTAATGAATGGTCACAAGCACCAAGACATCTGAACGTCTAGTAAATGTAGAGATGTGACGCATGAAGTGAGGCAGTCCCATGTTCGAATCCTGCTCTACCTACTACTGCTAATTCCAGTCAGACAACTGGGTGATGATGGCATCCCTCATCATACTATAAGGATTGCTTGTATATTTAATTGAATTTTAGATTTTCCCGTCGATTGATTGGACTAAAGTGCTTGGTCTCAGGTTGACATGTCGGCTTCTTGTGCAGATGCTTCGATGATGTCTGGGTATTTAATTAGAACTTGATTTCTTAGTGGATTCCACTGCTAGTCACCATCCACAAATTAAATTCTAATTAAATTAAATTAATATGACTCGTTGTACAAGAGTGGTCCCAGTGGTCTAGTGGGTAACGCTTTGGCGTTTGAAACTATGGGTACTGGATTCGAGCCTTGGTGGGAACATCACCACTCACTGCGGAGTGCAGGTACATCCAGGTGACGAGTCCCAAATGGGACGAATGGCGCGTCCTGGATTCCACTGCTAGTCACCATCCACCAATTAGATTGCCTGGTACATGAAGTATCTGCTCCGGAATTGAGTTCAAGCAGGCATTCTAGCTCTGCTTCACTGAAATTTGATTATTATTATGTCGTAGTCCGATACTAAAGGACTCCCGCCGAAGAAGCTTAGCTCAGTGGACAATTTTTCCTAAACCACAGTTATGCACGAATTTATTCTGCCTAAATTTCCAGCCTAGAATATCAATAAGTGGAAATAAGTCGACAGATTGTGTGACTTAATGTTGGTTCGTGACGATATCCACAATAAAATTATTCTAAATATCAGTCTCCAGGTCATTCGGTGACCTTGAATTGAAAGAGGTTAGAATTCACAAGTCATTAAATTGACCTCATAATCTGAAGGTCCTGGATTCAATTCTTGATGAAGCAGTTAGTGTGCGATGCTGAGGAGTCCCAAACTAGGTCGAAATAGTTGTCCTGATGTTCCATGGATTTTAATGATGCCATTTCGTGACGAAATCTATGTGGAACTCTAATTCATTGCGAAGTAGGATCACTTAACTTGTGTAGCAATAATATATCTCAATTGTGAGTAAAATTTATTTTGATAAAGCCTCACAGTGTGTTATACAGTAATGTTTACTGATGACCACGTTTCGAGCACAATATATTACTGCTTATAATCATATTAAGTTAAGTTACTCACATAAATTTATAACTTTGTTAAATAATTCCATTATTTTTCATCGCTTATGAATTATCAAAACTCAGCTCTAATATTATGCCCCATTAGAAATCGCTCAAACTCTAGACTAGCTAATTCATTTGAGATGAAAAATAAACTAAATGACATTCAACCAGAGAATGATGAAACAATGGTTAGTTTTGATATAACTAGTCTTTATGCTAATAAACCAATCAATATGGCAGCCTCAGAAGCGGTTAAAACGGAACTAACTGCATATCCTGAACTCACTCACAGGACAAAACTGCCCATTGAGGAAATTATTTTAAAAATTCACTTATGCCTCACATCTATTATCTTTAAATTCTAAGGCAAAATATATAGACAAATAGAAGGTGTAACAATGCGATGCATCACCAATATCCCCTATCTTAGTAGACATATTTATGGACAGCTGAAAAACACTGCTCTTAATACATTTAATCCTACTCCAAAAATATGGTGGAGATATGTGGATGACACTTTCACAGTTTTCAAAACAGAACATATCTCTAGCTTCTTGACACATATAAACTCACTAGTAGAGGGAATAAAACTTACATTTGAAGCCGAAAATGAGCAAGGAGAATTAGCTATATTAGATTGTAAAATAAAACGAATCGAAGAAGGCAAACTGTACACTAGTGTTTATAGAAAACCAACGCATTCTAATAGGTAATTAGACTTTAATTCATCTCATCCGTTGTCTGTTTGCTAAGGCACGCTTAGTTAAGTGCCTAATAAACCGAGCAGTAGCACCAATTAGTACAAGAAAAGAACTAAATGATGAAATGAAACTGATAGAAGAGGCGTTGGTGTTAAATAACTAACTATCCTATAAAATTCACTAGGAATATCAGAAAAGGTCAAAAGCAAAATAAAAATAATGGTGAAACTAATAATGATAACCTAAATAAGAGAGAATATAAGACATCTACAGTTTTACCATATAAAGAGGGGGCATCCGAGACCCTACGAAGATTCTCAACAAAGCAGGAATTAGAGTGGTATTTAAACCGACAAATTCACTCAGGTTCGACAAGCTCTGTGGGTTAAAGGACCCAGTAGGTTGACCCTATTTGACAAAATAATATAATTTACAAAATACCCTGCTATGACTGTAAGGTCATCTACATAGGTCAAACTAGTAGGTCAGGGGTAGTCAGATTGTCAGAACATAAGAATTTGGCTAAAGTTAGAATGGTTGACCCCGAGAAGATAAGTAATGTAAAAAAAGGTCAACAATGGCACTGCATGCATTAACACACAACCACACAATATGTTGGCGGGAGAGGATTAAAATATTAAGAAGTAATATGGATAGGTGGAGAGTGAGAGAGGTTGATTACTGAATCCTGGTTCATAGAATCGACTACACCCAACACGTGCAATAGGAATGACTCATCACCCATACCAGAAGTATGGAAAATATTACTACCAATCAAATCAAGCGATGGAAAATAATGGAGTTATATGAACAAATTCACTTGATTTGATTGGTAGTATTATTTTCCATATTTCAGGTATGAGTGATGATTCATTCCTATTGCATGTGTTGGGTGTAGATTCGATGAACAAAGATTCAGTAATCAACCTCTCTTTCCACCTACCTAGATTACTTTTTAGAATTTTAACCCTCTCCCACCCTATTGTGTGATTAACTTGATATGATTATGAGCAATAAATTGTGCTCGAAACGTCATCAGTAAATATTACTGTATAACACATTGTTAGACTTTATCAGAATAAATTTTACACACACACAATGGAGTCATACTCTACCACAGCCGGGCATGCACATGATCCGGCGTTCGATCCCCTGCCGGCGCACACCTGATATCAATTGGCGGCCTGCAAAATTTGGTCTACCGTTATCACACGCTGAGCATTCCATACTTGTACCAAAAATACGGTGTAAAATCAAGCTATGATTGGAAAAAAAGTTCTATTCCTATATCAATAATATATCTCATTCCAACCCCTTCGTGTGTGTGTGTGTGTGCGTATCTATTGCTTCCACTTACTTATCCTACAACATTCATTTTTATCTAAACGTTACCAACCCTGGATGTTCGTTCGTCCCACTAACATCATGTTCATTACAAAGGGAATCTGTGATCTTTTAATGTCTACTCTCTCTCTCTCTCTTTGTCTTTCTCTGATAGTCTGATGTTCTACAATTATAAATAAGGATAAAGCAAACTGCTGTACAATACACCCACACTATTTTATTGTTTATTGATTACTTGGGTATATGTAAACACTTGAACAGTAGTCATCAAGTGAAGAGTAGTACATCCTTCACCTGAACTCATGGCTAGGTGAACAATACACTTGTGCAGATTTTTCTTATTACAATAGGGTTTCATTTAAAAATTAAGAATTGAGTGTATTGAGTGTTTGTTGTTGTTAGGGTGGTATAACGTTAGTAATCTATGCAGGTTGCGTAATGACTCGAACCACTAACGCGTGAATGCGTAGTGTGCCACTCTACTAGATGAGATAATTTAGGTCATTATTTCATCACATTTGATACCATGGGTTAATATCCCACGTTGTCTTATGAGTGAATCGTATGTTGCAGTCTGCCGTCCAAGTGGATCTCCTGCTGTCCGTATCCTAATCGTACTGCTGAAACTATCTGAGAGCCTTACCTTGAATATTGGATAGCTGTTTCGTCCTAGTTTTGGATTCTTCAGCAACACATACCCACTCATCGCTGCTGGGGATTGAACCCAGTACCTTCAGATCACGGGACGAGTTCGTAAACTATTCAGTTATTGGAACGGGATCCAATCGCTCATCAATTCTAACCCCAGGTGTTTAGATGTCCTGGATCTGGCTAGTAGACACTACTGATTATTGTGAGTAGTATACGACTGCCCATCTCAGTCAACCAGTGATGCGCAGTGTAATGCATTTATGCTTGGTTTTTCAATACAAACTCATTGTATCAAGCAGATCTGATTTTATTTCTGTTTCTGTAAGAAACTGTGATGAAATAAGCGTCTCGAACTGTGTGAATTTGATTTACCCTATCACCAGTTCACTCAAGTAGCTAGCTAGGTGGCAAGCCGGCGGGAAATCGGATGGTTAGAACTGTTTCGGCTCGCTAAGCTGAGTTAGACAGGGTACATCGCTGATCGGCTCGCCCTGAGATGAACGAAACGCCGTCCGTTGTTTCGACTTAGGCACTACTGATTTTTATGAGTGGTATACAAAACTACTCATCTCAACCAATCAGTAGTATGTAGCTTTTATCCCCCACCGCCCTCCCCCCAACCGGAATTGGTGGACCCCGTTGGTCATGTCTTCTCATACTATAGAACACACTAAACAGTTTCATCTTGTAATCAGTCACTACTACTAAGTGGGCTTTTACTGAATTTATTTTTAACCCCAATGATAATCTAAATCCCTTTTTCTCCCCTACACACACCTACCAACTGTTGTTTTTCTTACATCTAGAATTTGTACCGTATGTATTCCAATTGATAAGTGTTATGCTCGAACAGTATCCATCTTCGCAAACAGTTCAAGTGAATTGTAAACCTCAGTCAATGCTGAATGGTAGCACAACAAATCCCAACAGTCTACGGCCTTCACAAGCGTATTCAGCTTTACTCCAGCGTATCCTGGTTCCATCATTATGGGAACCAAGTCGGAATGTACCTTCACTTGTTCGCCTGCTACAAGCTTATCTTCTACACGATATGGATGATGTTTTATCGGAAAATAAAGTGAGTCTTCCTCGTCGTCGTTTTTTCCATTGATGATGGCTTCCTTCTACCTCTAAGCTGCGTAATATTAGTATTATTATTGTTTTTCCCTTGTGTTTAATTACTTGCTTTCTACATTCTGTAAATGCTTCAATAGATGAATTTCCAAAGTCTAAAACTGTGAATGACTGACTGACTGACTTATGAAAGTGTGTCGGCAGTTTCTTACTCCCCGGCTGCCCACTCCATGGAAGTTGTTTCCTTTTTGAGGTTGGTTCCATGAAGAACATTGCGAGCAGTTAGTGTGTAGCGTAACTGCAGAGCAGGTTGGACAGCTGCTTAAGGCTAGTCACACACACACACCCACTACCTGTTTGAAGTGGTTTTTGCAGTTGTATCTGCATTGAGACCTTACCGCTGTAAGGTGGTGGTAAGTCGAGATAAACAGTTTCCAGAGTGTTGACCTATTCTAGCCTTCCAGCCCCCCACCTTTTTTTATTCCTTCACGTTCCCAGTGGAACATAGGGCTTCAAGCTAGAGGCTTGAAGTTTCTGTGGAATTTTGTATTTTTTTACAGGATGGGGTTGCTAGCCTCATGCCCAACCTTCCCTCTTTGCCAGTGTTATTTCCGGTTTAGCAAGGTAAAGGAGTGAGTCGGCCGGGGATCGAACCCCGGACCATGCACATGGTTGGCGAGCGTCCTAACCCCCCACCTACCGTAGATTTTTTTAAAGTGTTCGTTACTAAGCCTATATTTGCTAATCATGGTAGTCTACTCGAACTCATTCAACCGTGTAACAGCTTACAGAGAGTTGTCATCTGAAGTGATAACAAACAGTAGTGTCCGTCACGAATGTCCTCAGTTCCAATCTTTACTCATAAGTAGTAGTACTCTAATCGACTTTGAGGGATTGACTTCCTACCAGGGAACAATCTTGGGGATTTAAATGTGTTCGCATTATATTGTCCTTGGCTGAAGACGCCGAGCAAATACGGAGTCTTCTGATGAACAGGAATTTTCAAATATTTGGCATGTGATTCGCCGCCCCCTGTCTAGTGTGTGAAGATGATGCACGACTGGTGTGTATTAACACCTTGCTTAAAGACAAAAAAAGGAAGTGGTGATAGAGTGTGTTGAACGCAACACACTTATTTCGGAAGTTGTGTCAGCCCTGATAGACTGGCTGATTGCTAATGCAATCTTAGCATGCATACAGAAGGCTGGTGTTGCATTTACTACCAAGTTACGTCATCCGGCTTTCGATGAAAACGACGTGTGTACTACACCGTAATTCGTCCTGTCCTCCTCCTTCATGGCTGAGATATTGTCTATTGAAATTGGAAGATATAAAAAGACCAACCAAAGTCTTTGACTACTAATGTTCTTTCGCGTTCTTTCACTCGTATTAAGCGGCTAGAAGTAGAATGTTAGATTTAGAGAAGATTAGCTACATCGATTGAGAGATAGCTGCGACACATGTTGCTCGTATCAAGCTTACTACCCTTCCTCTTCGAGCTATCTTAGCTGACATAGAATGAAGTTGGAAAGGAGTTAGATAGATGGCCGAACTGAAATCTGTCATCAGCCACCCCCCTCAACCCATGGAGTCTTTGACAATCGGCTTGAAGCAAACAGAAGGGTTAAAACTTCCTAGTTGGGGGTCCCTTACAGTGCTAAGAACCAAATGGCTGTTTGGTTGAAGTGGAGTCGATGTATTCACTCCCTGTAATCTCACTCCTATATTCATCATATTCTTATTATTGGTCATAGGCTTCTTTGTTCATTAAGAGTTCTGCGTTGATAATTCAGATAGTCAGTTCCATATTAGTTTGTTTATTAGATGTGTCACATAGTGATGAAACAGTATTATTTACTGGATGACGTTTATAATCATAACAGTTGTAATAATACGTTTTTGAAACTTGAATTTTATAGATTTTTTGGACACATCAACTCAAAGGTAGGTGGAGGCAATCCATCAATTCACTTATGAATTGGAAAGTCAGGTAGGAAGGGGAGCTCCCAATGTTAGATTGCAGCGTAAAAAGGAAAGAAAATGGGAGGTTAAACACACTAGTGTGTGTTTACAGGAAATCCATACATTCAGACAGATATTTGGACTTCCGATCATCCCATCCTATGTCAGTAAAAATAGGATTGGTGAAATATCTAAGTAATAGAGCACAAAAACTAAGTAGTACCAAGGAAAATCTAAGACAGGAAGTGATATACATAAAAGAAGCCTTGAAACTTAATAATTACCCTGATAAATTATTCAGGAAATATGTAAGGAAATGTAAAGATAAAATAAATAATGATAGTAGTGATAGTGATACTAATGATAATGATAACAATAATAATGATAATAATAATAGTGATAGTAATAATAATATTAATGGTGACACCAACAATAAGGAAACCTTACGCAGAATTCTTAACAAGGCAGGAATAAAAGTGGTTGGCATTCAAACCCCCCACAGACTCAATTAGAAACAAGCTTTGTCGGTTAAAGGATCAGTCCTGTGGAGCCAATTAAACAAAACAATTTATTTTATCTAATACCCTACCAGCAATGATTGTCAGGTCAAATACATAGGTCAAACTAGTAGAACAGGGGCAGTCAGACTAGCCGAACATAAAAACCTAGCAAAATCTAGATTGGTTGACCCGAAAAGGATAAGAAATCTAGAGAATAGTTCAGCTATAGCATTCAATACATGCAGTTACATACAACCATACAATAGGATGGGATAGGGTGACAGTTTTAAAATCTAATGTCACAGGGTGGAGTGAGAGATTGATAACAGATGCTTTGTTTATCGAATGTAATAGGAATGATTCAACACCTGTCCCAGATATGTGGAAAATTCTACTACCCTTACTAGGACAAATAGGAGAAAACAAAGAGAACTATAAAACTCAAGTTTCGAAGTTGTGTGATTATAATTTATACGATTATGAACAATAATGAATTGTGTTCGAAACTGTGTCATCCAGTAAATAATACTGTTTCACTCACTGTGTGATACATCTAATAGATAAACTGATATGGAATTACTTACTACCACAGTGCCCAAGTTTTACACATATATCAATCAGATAGTCAGCTATTTTCTACTTAAATCAACACCATTGTGATTTTATTTTACCTACTTGTTATTATTGTTATTATTATTATTATCTTATACAGATATCGCCTATCATGGGAGTATTTCAAAAGTTAGCCAGTTCATCAACGAATGAAGTGCATGCGTTTGCATTACTCAACGCATTACTTCTAGCTGGTCCAAAAGACACTATGATGCCTAATAATTTCCGTCAAATATTTATGGTCATCTTTCGACGATTACAAACATGTAAAACAGAAAGATTTTTGAAAGGTGAGTAGTAGTAAGATAATTTCCGTGAAAAGTTAAACAAACTACAGTGACCTTGGGTTGGGGGTGACCAATCAGAATTCAGATGTAAAATAAAGTCGCGTAATCATTGAAAAATGCATTAAAAAATACATTGCAAACATGATATTACACATTGTATAGTTGTCGTTTATGTGTTGTTAGGATTTCTCTCAGTCACTATGTAACGACAGAAGACAAGAGTTAGGCAACAGATTGTTTATTAATGAAATCAACATATATTTATAGATTTTCGTGTACATTATTATCGATAATTGTTAGCTGACAAACACAGTTTTCTGATTGGTTGTTTCTCACTAAAAGTTAATCTGTCATCTCTTTGTTGCTGTCTCTTGAGTGTCAGATAATCTATCTGCTAATTGTGTCTGCCTACGCAAAGTCTGCTGTCCATCTTTGACCTTGTTTCCACATGACTAATATTTGAGACATAAACATTGACATCAATTACTGTCTAACAATTTGGCTAGCAGCCATCTTTCACCACACTCGTGCCCCCGTCAAATAGCTTCGTGTGCAGGCGTTCCGACCTTCTGGGTGATGCATCCTCTAGTTGATGATTGTTACAGATCTGCTTTTCCCAATGCACCCATCGTTGGATCTTACTGGCGTTAACTCGTTTTTGTTTGTCACCTCTTCTGATAGTATATACTTGACCCCGTCTTTTTGTGACTGTGTATGGCCCTTCCCACTTTGGAAGGAGTTTTCGTGAACCTGGCCTGCATCCAACAGCATATCTTCTGTCTGTACACTTCACTTGGTCCCCGACTGCAAAGGTAATGCACTGAGTCTTTTCTCTCAGCTGAGACTTCGCGACATCCCTCTGCTGCTTCTGCATTACATTCTTGACGGCTTCTTTCCGTTCTGCTTTTAATTTCGTCGTACTCCACTTTTGGTGAAGGGGCCAGGTTTCGTTGTGTATCGGTAATCGTGGTTTTCTACCATACATCAGTTGAAAGGGTGAATTTTGTTGTTTCCTGGGTGGTGGCACGATGTGTTAGTAGAATCAGTGGCAGCTCCGTTTCCCAGTTACCGCCCTTCGAGGCTAGCCACTCCTTCAGCGTACGATTGTTTCTCTCCGTCAGGCCATTCGTTTGTGGATGGTATGGGGTCGTTCTGATCCTCTTGATGCCCAGCTGTTGCATGATTTTGTCTGGAATGACGTTTCATTGAATTCCCTGTATATCTAACTGGTTCTTGAAGGTCGAATTTTGAAAGACCTTGGCTTTGGCTACGATTCGTTAACCTCGCCGATAGTTTTTTTTTTGTTTTTTATGTGACATTTTTTATTTACACGATGTTATTATTGGCTGTTAGTTGTATATTGGTGATGTTACATGCTGAAGGATCCACAATAGAGAGTTTAGCGAAGCATTTGAATTGACGACAGAAGTAAGATAAGGTTAACTGGTTGCCTACTATCATCGATCATATTCCTAATTGTCGTGGATTGGATCATGCAACAGACCGTGAGGAATAAAAAAAACAAGAGTACGTTGGACCGAGAGAAATTTGAAGAAAATCATCGTTTCATCTGTGGATGGCGGTACGGATGAAAGTGTCAAAGCCGGGCTCAGAAAGGCAAGACACACCTTTTTCAAGATTCAAATTTTCAACACTAGTGTCGAATCAATACTTCTATACGATTCAAGGACTCGGCGTGCCATGAAAAGCATTCCCAACAGGGCTGTAGACTTTCACCAACTGCTCTGCTGTCTCCATATTGAAGATCACAAAGAATAAACAACAAAGAACTCTGACAACGAATCAACCAAATCTGTTGTCTGCTAGTTGAACTGACTCTGCCTTCTCCAACGTATAGTCTCCTGCACACAAGAGTTCAACTATATCACATTTTGAAGGAGATGTACTTTTCGAAGTAAAGGAAAGATATCGAGTAAAATCCCCTCAAAAAATAACGATGTACGGACTTAGAGTATAATAATAAATGAAGATTTGTCAGTGTTTTCGTGAAACCATTGGTCTATATCATTGAGTCATGTCGCTATCAGTCTTCTATTATTGATTCTTAGTATACTAAATACAAGACCCTAGCCATTCAGTTTGCACATGACTGCTTACATGACTTTAACCAGCAGTGAAAACTTCAACTGAAGTTACATCGATTGAGGTGGTTAGGACATGTGTTACGTATGCCTAAGCACCGATCGCCTTCCTCGACGTCGGGCAATGTTAGCTGACTGGCATAGGATGGATCAGGTTGGAAAGAGTTAGCCAGTAGTGGTCAAACCAAAACACGGCTTCATCATCAGCGAGCCAACCACCTCGAAAGGTGTAGACTTCCTGACTGGTAGCGGTCCTCGGGACGATAAAAAGCAATGAAAGCTGCAGACAATCGGTGATATGGCTCAAAGTCGTTCTCGATGATGGCGCAGATGCGTCCACTCCTTGTGGCTTATACCACCCAATAAAACTACATTGTTCTCCGATATTATTGTTCTTTTTGCTTCATATCTCTGTTTACTGTCTCTATTTTGCATATCTTTTTACTTTCTTCTCTTGTTTTGTGTGCTAAGTGACGTGTGGCGACTCGAACTGCTGCACATTTGTGCTGTGCAAAGTTCTATGTTGAAACCAGTCAGTCAGAAAACTTCAACCTGATTCTATTTCACTTTTTATTGCTCTTGTATATAAAGAAGAGACAGGTAAAAGGAGACGTTCATTTCTTCCAGTATGCAGTAAAGTTTTGTCTTCTGGACATGAACTGATATTTTTTGAGACTGTTCAATTTTCGTCAGTTAACTTCTCATATCTCTTTTCTCTGTTTCCACCAACTTTTTTCCAGCTTTTGCATCATTCATTGCTCATTTTGTATTGATCTATTCACCGAATGAATTAATCACTCTTGTCGATGGTATTCAGTCGAATATATTCTCTCGTGTTCTGGAGAAAGTACTCATTCCATATGCTGAAGCCATCATCACCAATCCTCTGATCCCGTCTATTGGTTTTGGAAGTAAGTGAACTGATTTTGATATTTTTTTGTTTGCAAATTTATATAACTATACTCTTTAATGCTCTGTGGATCTATCCTTTTTTTATCAACGAGAACACTGGTATTATTAGGATTTATAGAAGTTATATTCGATATATATATGTTCAGTTCAAGAACTTGGCTGTCAGACAGGCGATTGACTAACTGTCTTTTTGAATTCCTCCTCAGTCGAAACCTGTGACTATCATCACGCCACAAATATCTGTTCTCTTTTATTCTTGGAAAGTCACGTCATTATGTGAACAGGTCTTAGTCAATCGAAGGTACTAGGGCATGTAAAGCTCTCAACCATCACCACTACCACCACCATCCCCTACCTTTCATCTATGTCGATGTGGTCTTTTGGAAGTGGAAGTAGAATATTACACTGAACTGAATCTAGATGGAATAATTAATTACTGGTCCATGAAATTTCTGAGTATTTCCTAGGCTGCTTGTTTGAATTCCACAAAACCACGAGAGTTTGTGTAGAAAGGGACGTGGATAAATCCATATTAGTTAGTTGTAATACCATACCTCCTTGTTCGCTTTATTCTTTGAGATAACTATACAAGAAATGTTAAAATTCCCTAGCGGTTTTCATGACTGCTAGCGGCACAGTGGTAGAATGCTTGCCAACCAAGCAGGCGGTTCGGGGTTCGATCCCCGGCCACTGGGCGCACTCCTAAACCTCGCTAAGCCAATAAGTAATAAGACTGGTAAAAAGGGGAGGTTGGGCGTGAGGCTGGCTGGCAGCCCCATCCTGTAAAAATGAAACAACCACTGCTACCGAAACTTCAAGCCCCTAGCTTGAAGCTCTATATTCCAACTGGGGAACGTAAAGGAATCAACAAAACAGTTGAAGTAAACTGCTTTTAAGTATTTTCAAGTAGAAGTTAGAATTCATGAGCCATTGGATCGGGTCCCAGTGGCTCAATGGCCTACGAGCTCGCTAGCCTTGTAACCAGAAGGTCCTGGGTTCGAACCCCGTGGTGCGGGTACGTACTGCTGAAGAGTCTCAAACCAGGATGACGAAACGGCTGTCCAGTACTCCCAGCTTTTCCAATGCTTCTCTAATTGATGTCAGCTCATGATGGAATCCTCCATGCAATTAAACTGCTTTTACAAACAAATATGAGTGCGCATTTGAAACTGCTAATTCCCTTTTTTTATTGTGAATTTCGACAAAACATTGAAATGACACAATTCCGAAGACAGTCAGTCTTATCGTATACAAGTATATACGTGTCATACGGAGGAATATATGTGAAAATAATATGTCTTTTTTAACGGGTGAGAGAAAAGACATAGGTCAAGGTAAAAGACCATATTATTATTCTTATTATTATTGAAGGTCAAAATAATGACAATGAAGGTGTGTTAGGAAACCAAAGATTTAGGAGATAATAGTACATCTCTCCTTGATATCCAAAACGAAGTTTACCAAAGAAGGTTTAGGGTGATGACAAATTGTTTATGAACACAAAAGCCCTCCCCTTCCACTTAACATGTTTTATAGATAAGCTTACAAGACGTGTAAACATCAATTTTATGATATCCTGTTTCTCTATTATGTTTTCATCATGAATGGGTTCAGGGAGTATTCGACTTGCTTCTGAAGCTCCTACTTGCTCAGATCGATGTGGATCATACGCACATTTGAATTGGTAGATACAGTGGGATGTAATATTATTCTTTCCACGTTCCTAAAGGGCTTAGATGGATATATGGGTTTGACAATTCACTCACCCCTTCTCAGGTTCATATTTTCATATAAAAATGCCTGTGATCGGATTGCTCGAAATGTGTGTTACGTGTCCTTGTTGTTCTGTGGGAGCCAGCATTTCTCAAATTTGAACAGAGATATGACAAACATTAGTGTAGAATAACATTAGATCCACTTTATGTCGTTGGTCCTCCTCACTCATCATCTGTTGTAAGAAAGGCATACATAGTGGAACAAAACATAGAGAAGAGAAGAGACTTGCTAACAGATATTTTTTTTATGGAAAAATACACCATATTTATTCATTGTTAACCACGTTTAAAGGTCAGTTAGGTCAGCGCATAATACACCGTTCTGATTGGTTGTCAATTTCCTCAAGGTTGAACCTCATGTTTCCTGACCACAACGTGAACTAAGTCCAGATTTTGGGAACAAACGCTTCTAACTCTGCGTTAGCCATTGACTTAATAATTGGGTTGTTTTAAATTCTAGCGGCTTCCTAACTATCTGCTTCTACATATATATACTACTGATAAGTCTTGCCAGTAGCACATGTCACAAGGTTATTCCAGATTGTTAGTATATATAAGCATACAAATCTGTTGTTTTAAGGATGGTGACAAGTCAGTGATAATTGCCTAATTAGAGATAATAAAACACAATTGGTAAGAACTCATACGATTGGAAAATCACTATTTTTCGGTGTGTTTGAAGTTGAATGGAAAGATGAGGATGATTATGATGACGTAATGCAATGAGTGGCATTCAAAGAATCAGAAATCAAGTCTAGTATGAGAGTCAAACGAAAAACGGGGAAGATGTTGAAACAAAAATGATGAAGTGAGAAGACAAGGAGTTAGTCGCTAAGTTGGAGGTTACCAGCTCAGGTTTCATACGTTTTATTGCGATAGCCTCAGCAAACCAAAGAAGGTCTAGGCTGTTTTGTCCGTTAATTATTTTGAATGTTTCCGACGCGCCTACTCGGTGTCCTGGTAGTTGTATTACTATTCCCTTCGAGGACATAGGACGTTGACAGCGTATTACTATTTCATCCGGCTCCCAACAGTCCATGACTTCCCATAAGCTTCCACCTCCTGCTTACATGATCCTCTGCATGTCACACTCTCGAAGTGATGCACAACTCACCGTTTTCCAATTTAGGTTTCACTCAAGCGTATACCTAGCACGTGGTGTCTCTTCAGCATATGTCCATTGCCTCGATTTCCTTCTGCATAACTGTCGGATCATAAGTTGCTTGGTCAGTTCGTTGCCAGATTTCCTTGTCCCCTAACCTTTCTGGCTGGCCATCTAATCTTCAGTATGGAACCATCGAAGGGGGCAGCTGTTGATGAAAATTCACAGTTACTTGTTGGAAATTCTTGTCTGGTAATTGACAAGTTTTTTGATTTGACACTAGTAACTAGTGTGATGTGTCTAGTCCTCTCTTCGGTGTAGACTGAATTCTATCAGTCAGTCAGGTTTGCAATGTGGCCACCATTCTAGGTAGCTCGCCATCACGGTGCACATTGATTTGATGATATTGGATGGTTGGAGGCAATCGGCCACAGGAAGCCTTGGACACACACCTAGGTTTCGTGCTAGTTGGCACTCATCAGTCAGTCAGCAAGACGCATCTGCAACCTTGAAGGAACTCATGTCCCACATCTGAGATTCGAACCCACGTCACCCATTGAGCGCTGCAGTCGGAAACGTTACCACTGAGCTATTCAGGCTCGCGATTGACTTCCTTCCTGTAGGACTGTATTGGATATTTTGATTGGACACTAGTAACTAGTGTGATGTGTCTAGTCCTCTCTTTGGTGCAGGCTGAATTCTATCAGTTAAGTTTGAACTATTCCGTCTCTTTAATCGTCAAGCCTCTTTGTTAAATATTTCTCAGATTTATAATAATTTCGTTATTTTTAATTTTTTTGTTTTATGTCGAAAAAATTGTACATCATACAATATATGATATAATATTCTATGTATCTAAATTATTTTCGGTCGATACTCTTATAGAAAGCACTGAAGCCTCAGGTATCCCATCCACTTATGTGTGTACACAATGGCGTGAAAATTCTATCGGTTTGATAAGATTTATCGGTGAAGCACAAGCTTTACTCATGGACGGTGCTACTTATCGTGCTTCATGGTTACCTTTGCTGACAAAAATTATCTCCGGTCTGGCGAATGGTCCAAATCGTGGTGGTGATACAGCAAGTGATATTGCTGTATCAACTGCTATTAATTCAATGGTGAATGGTTTCAGTAAAGATGAACGTTTCATTGAAATGGATTCTGATCCGTGTAAGTTGATTGCTCCCTATTTTTTTCTTTTCTTGTCATGTTTGTTTTTACTCTTATTGACAGATACTTTACTTCGGCTATCGCCTACGAGAAGATGAGCCGGTTTCATGAACATCTCGAATCATCGCTGCCCAGGCGCGGCGATCTGATGCAAGCTTTTGCGACAGGGTTATCCAATTCTTGTTCCACAGACGGAGTCCGTAGACGGTTTGTAGCCCCAGGCACTCCATATCAGCCTTAACTGTACCTCGTTTGTAAGAGAGTTCATGAAGTTTCATGGGAATTTGGTACGAGTGATGTCCCCAGAATCGCTCGGCCTTTTGTTTGAGAGTGCAGCTCTAGCCTTTACACAACCAAGTGTGACCTACAAGGCAGTAGGAGTGGAGTAGGGAGTCCACTGCCCATTGGCAGCCGGTGACCGGAGTTCGGTTCATACGCCTTTTTGAATGGGGCCAGACATCCAGGACATCCAACAAGCCCTTTGTCCATAGGTCTGCCGGTGAGCTCCAGTGATCTTCATACGCCAGTCGTTGGAGGTTTGGAATCAGGGTTTAGCCATCTCCCCTAGACTGTCATCCAATGGATAGTCAACCCGGTGAAGAGCACCGGGCATCCGCTTTCGCCCTCTCACTTTGGTGAGAAACACCTCCGCCACGTGAAGGCAGTGAGTAGGATTTCCTCAGGAGAGGCTATGTAAGACGCCCGGTCATATGGGAGCATTTGAAGAGGTGTGCGGAGGGGTGGCCAACCCGCAGCGCAAGGCACCCACCCCCGACCATCCTGAGGCTTTGGAGGCAGATACACACACACGTGTTACGTCATACCAAGCCGTCGTCATTCCCTGTCGTACATTCGTTATCCACCCTACGGATGTTATAAGAAATAAAGGGAGGGAGTTGTCTGTAATGACAAGAACTGACTAATTGAGTTTCAACATTGAACCATTCAGAGAAGTGCAGCAGTTCAGATTGCCACCCTACTACATACATGCAGCACACAAAGGCAGAGATATACACAGGGAATAAAGAGTCCTGAAATGAGTACGAATGTGTAGCGGTCCTCCATCTTTAACCGTGAAGTCACTAAGGTAAGGCAACAGAACCCAGTGGAATCACTCCAGAAATGTATAAGGACAGTGGTGACACATTGCTATCTTTGCCAATTTAGATATCAGGCAACGTGTGGGAATCAGAGATAGTCCCGTTAAACTAGTGTTAATTAATGATGACGATTACCTCAGTATACAAGAAAAGAGACAAGTCTTCCTGTGATAATCATAGAGGGTGGAGATTAGCTTGACTGATACGCTGTTTAAAGTTGTAGGTTCAATAATCATGCTTAGATTATGTGGTGCTTGGGAGGAACAAACACGAGAGAAACAGTCAGGCTTTAGATCAGGAAGGGGATGTATTGATCATATCTGCAGTCTTTGACAGATTTTAGATATGAATATTTCCTGTCGTCAAACAATTGTCGTATTTCTTGACCTGAAGGCGGAATTCGATTCTGTCGACCGAGAGGTACTATTGCATTGTTTGTTCGTGAAGGGAGTGTGGAGAAAGTACGTTACACTGATCAAGACACTGTTAAAACTTACACAGCAGTGTAAGAGCTTAGGGAGAGTTGTCATCCGATAACTGTGATAACAACCAGCGGTGTCTGTGAAGTATGTCCACTGTCTCCATTTCTGTTTAATTTTATCATAAATGTACTAATGAACTTAACCCTAACTGACTTTAGCAACTTAGAGATTGATTTGTTACCAGAGTAGTAGTCTTGTTGGCTTGGAATATTCGGATGATATAGTCCTTCCTCCTAGGTGAAGACACTGATAAACTGCCGCAATCTTCAAATGTTTGACATGTGATTCGCTCCTGTCAAATATAGGATGAAGCTTGATGCAGGACTCAGCTACATTGACTTCTAGCTTAAAGATAGGGAGTGAGTGAAGCGGTAGAGCGCTTTTGTCAATTTATTTATTATTGGAAAGTTGCAGCAGCTTGTGTTGAAACCAGTCAGTCAGTCAGAAATGTATGGGAGAATGAGAAATATTCAGGTTTAATGGGGATATATGATGGATCACAGAGAATAAATTCATCTCTCCATCTGTGAGAATGGTTTTGAGCTATATGACTAACAATCTCCAGCTGCTTGGTTCTTACCACCCCTAGGACAAGCTCCTTTCAGTAAATTCAACTTCTTTAGCTGTGCAATCGCATTTATTATATTCCACTTTCTTTCTCACAAAAGAAGATAATAACAAAACTGACGAGTTGTCATAACCACAGTTGTTAATATCAAGCAATGTAAAGAAGGAGTTGAATACGAATATTAAAGTTACATAACAAGATAAATAATTTACAGGATTTCATCATGAGCACTGATATCGGTTAGAGAAGTATTGAAAAACCAACAGGAAGTACTGAAGATCCAGCTGTTCAGTCCTAGTGCCTGGGTCTTTTCACCAGCACGCATCCACACTGGGGGGGGGTTCGAATCCAGGACCTTCCGATTACAAGGCCAGCGAGCTTGTAGACCACGCCCATGAATTCCAACTTCTGTCAATCCACGATATAGCTCGACTGACACTAGCCAATGTTATCTCTGGCGAGTATTCGTCCTCACTGATAAAGAGTCCAGAACTGGGACGAAACAGCTGTCCAGTACCCCCTGTTTGTTTCCCACCGGTTCTCTAACCGCGATGTTAGCTAATGATGAAATCCCGTAACCAATCAAATCGCTGCAAAACAACACTTGTATAAATAATTGAATGAATGAGTTGTAATCAGGATTCTTACAGAAACAGTGATTGTGTGAAATTACCTAAAAGTTTGAAAGAACTACAAAAGTTATAAATGAAGGATTAAAAGGAACAAGATCAACTTGATAGGTTGTCGCCGTGTGGTGTGTTAGATAGAAGTGGTTGAATAATTTTCCTCAGTATGCCAAATCTCCAGTGTCTCTGTCTGTCTCTTTATCGAAATGACCAGATCCTCAGCAATGCGAATAGGGTTAATTGGCATGGATTGATACCAGGTTTTGGTATAACCACGCCTAACTTTTTTTCAACCTAATTCCTATGTCTCACGTAACATCGTTCGTTGATTGAGGAGGGAAGATAGTGGTTCTGATTGACGACAATACATGTCCACCGTCCTGAGAATGTATATCATCGAGTCCGAGTTTATTATTGATTTCCTGTGTTCATGCATCCTTCTTTTTGTCTCTCTCTCTCTCTCCCTGTCTACAGCCGGCCAATCAGCCTACTCTCAACTGACATTTGCAGTTCAACGTCTTCCTGACCTGTGTGCATCGATTACAGATCCAAGAATTTATCTAGCTAAAACACTGCATGATCTGTCGAACCAATCGCCTGGAAAGGTAGATAATACAAGTTTTATCTTTGCTCGAACTACAATTCCTTTATGTTTTATATAATGTAGTACTGCCTGATCCATGGCTGATTGCTTTTCTTATGGAATTCTTGTCCTTTTCGAAATTCAATCATCTTAAATATATATATATATATTTTACCAACACGAAGATCTTTAGATCTGTGGTTACCTCCTGAAGCCTTCAACCAGCAACCGCAGCGACCGTCCTGATGGCTACTGCTACTCCTTACCTCACTGTGTCTAAACCTCAGGTTCCAGTAGTGTTACTTGTACTACTGTCTGGACCAAACAACACCTTATGTGTTATCTTGCTAGTCACCTCGCGTTGGTCACCTCAAACACACACACACACACACCATGTTCATCTTACAACACGAGGTTGGCTCATCAAATATGACCGATTTACCATTCATATTCAATACAAAACTCGGTTTAAGCGAGCTGAGCCTTCCTTACCCTTATAAAGTTTGTGAATATAGATCGAGAATATTTTCTCCTAAAATACCCCTTAAGGAAACTTCAGATGGAACCAGCTACTTACTAGATGGTTTTGACTGACATTTTGCCTTTGTAGTAGTGCAGTTATACCACGGATTTGCATATGTCAAAGTCGCTGCAATCCTCCAGCGGAGTTTCCTCTGGCTTCAATCTCCTCAAACGTAGTTCATCATCTTTGGGGTTCCATATTGTCAATTTTCGGTAGGCTGATTGATATATGATTCAGTATAGCGAGGACCGTAATTTTTTTCAACCAGTTGGGTCAGAAGTTCTAATCCCTGCAGCTAGTCAGGTGGTATCACCAACTCCTGCACACACGCACACAATGGGTTTGACTCATTGTCAACTGCATGGATACGCGGGTAATTGCTGACTGTTAATAATGGAGTGTTGCTCGGTTATGGGTTAGTCTAACTTGACCAGTATGCACCTCCAGAACACGACTCTAATAGCCAACTGAACATTTGAATTTATCTCCCACACCGACTTTTGTAGACACAAAAGTTAGACTGGAAAAACGATGACCGGATTGACATCAACAACCGATCCAACGCTTATTAGACAAAATACATAGTGTGCCATATTTACAAACCTTCAGAAAAGGAGGTCATAAATAAACAAATCATGAATGACTTCAGGGCTGCTAATAAAAAAAGCTTATCCCCTGTCCTAACACCTCGCCTTTTTTACTTATTAAGTCTTCCATTGGAGGTCCATTTGAAGATACTCTGTAAGTCCTGTGTACACTTAATCTCCATCTATGATATTTGAGTAACACTTCATTTCTTCTGTTACAGATGCCGGTGATGCTCAACTCGATCTCAGAACAGCCTATAACTGCCTATCTACAATCGATAATGGGACGTGCTCAATTATGTATAAACTAATAGTAGTAATAATAATAATAATAATAATAATAATGATAAGCAAGTGTGACAGTCAGATGTAATGATCAAGAAGAACAATGAATGATGAGAAGATTCCTGTGTTTCTGTTTCTGTTTCCCTTTTTTCCCCCGCCTAAATCTTGTTCTCCCCATTCTTTCCACCATCACCAACACCTCCCTCTCCCAATTCTGTTATGTGTTGTTAGAACACTGTGTAATTTTTTATTCGAAGATTTTTATGTGTATCTATCAGATTTTCATCACTATTTCATATTCTCTATGTGTTTTTGTTTAATGCGTACGTGTGTTTATGTGTGAAGAACAGTATATATGTGAAGAGAGACAGATAGTGGGCGAGAGAGTTGAAGCGGTTTAGATTAACAAAATTTTTGACATCACAGAGACGCACTCACTACTGCTACTCCTATGCCTTTTCAACAGATCAACTTCTTCATCTTCTTCCTCCTCTGTTTTGCCTTTCATCCTAGAGAATTTTGTTCTTATATTTTGTTTCTCTCTCGACCACCCACCCACCATTTTTGATACTTTCACCATCGCCTCTTCTTCTATATACGGCGCTGATTTCCCATTTTCCCTAATCCGGTTGTTGTTTCTTTTTCTTCCGCTATTTTCCAATTTTGCACTTTTTGAGTTCTAGTGTTCAATATGTGTGCGTGCATGTGATGATGCCTTTATACCTCTGTTATTGTTATTATTATTACTATTTTTCAAAAAATCTCTTTTAGGAGTTCATTTTTCTAACAATGTTGTGTGTGTTGTTGACATTAATGTGTTTGTGTGTATTTCTCCACTCCACCCCACCTCACCCCGTTTTTTAAGAGATCATTAAAAAGGGAGTGGGACTCACAGAGATTGGTGGTGGTGGTGGATTGTGAGCGAGAGACACGCTTAAATGCATTTTTTATATTCGACCTCTTCTTTCTCAATTTCATTTGTTTTTGTTTTTTTTGGTATAGATTATAAAATAATGATGATTAACACAGGCTGTTCTTTTTTCTTCTGAAACTACCTCTTCCTTTTTGATGTGGTTGTGTTCTCTGAGCAGCTGGATAGTTAATTTGCGAAGCTTTCATCACCCTACTGGATGACATCTTCAGCGCATACTTCAATTTGCATTGAAGTGAGCTTTTAGATTTCTCCACGAGTTTATTAATCATCTCTCCTGGTGACCACCTTGGACGTGATTGGTTGTTTTTGTGTGTTTTCACACCTTCTAGGTTACTTGTATTGTCACTCATTGTTTCTTTGACTTGAACTTTGACCCTTTGTTTGTGTGTGACTATTCTTTCTTATCGGTTGATAAATTTTGTCTATTTCGATGTGTCTATTGATTGATGATTCACTGGAATGCCAAGCTTCTAAAAATTCTCTAGCATTCTTGTTGTTTCCTCTGTCTAATATTTGAACGTTGTCCCAGTCGAATTGATGCCTGTGGTTGTCTGTATGTAGTGATATGAGGGAGTGGATATCATGTCTTTTGACAGCTAGCTTATGTTCGTGGATACGAAGACGAAGAGGACGTCCACTTTGGCCAATGTAGTGTTTTTCGCAGTTGATGCAATCTATTTTGTAGATGATGTTTGTTTTATCTTCCTTCGCTGTTGAGTCTTTTGGTTGACATAGAATTGAGTGGAGTGACTTTGTTGGTTTGTGTACGACGTCAATTCCTAACGGTTTGAAGAGTCTTGTAGTGATTTCTGAGATGTCTTTTATACATGGTAAGGCGATTTTCTTTGTGCTTTCCTTGGGGGCTTTTGGTTTGATAGGTTGGCTTGGAGGTATATGTCTTTTGATGAAATTCCTTGGATATCCATTCTTTTGGAAGACGTCCATTAGATATTTCTCTTCAATTTTCCTTGAGGTGGGAGTGCTGCAATGAGTCCTGGCTCTCTTGAATAGTGTTTGTATGCAATTCCTCTTGTGTGCTATTGAATTGTTGCTGTTGTAATTCAGGATTTGGTCTGTGTGAGTTGGTTTCCTATAGACTTGAGTTTCTAATTCCCCTGTCGTTGTTCGCTTGTCTAAGACGTCCAAAAATGGGATTTGGTTTTCTGATTCCTCTCCTCTTGTGAATTTGGTGTCGTTGAAGACGTTGTTTATCAGATTGTGAGCTTTATCTAACTCGTTTCTTTTGATAATTACAAATGTGTCGTCTACGTAGCGTATCCAAATCTTTGGTTTGATCTTTGGTAGAATTATGTTCTCGAGCCTTTGCATCACTGCTTCTGCAATCAAACCTGATATTGGCGATCCCATAGGTGTTCCTTTGACTTGTTCATATATTTGGCCGTTGAATTGGAAGTACGTTGTTAGACATAGGTTTATGCATTCCATCCAACTTGTGTGTTGCATTTTTGATTTTTGTGGAAGGTGTTCGTCGTTGCTAAGCAATTGCTCCATAGTTTCTTTTGCTAGTTTTTGTCCGATTGAGGTATACAATGCTGTGACGTCGAAGGATATCATTATCCCTTGTTCATCTATTTGGATGCCTCTGATTTTCTCTAGGAATTGGATAGCGGAGTTGATGGAGTGATAACAAGATTCCGTTAGGTGTTTTAGTTTTCTGTATAATTCTTTGGATAAATTGTATTTTAGAGTTCCTGGTAGTGATGCAATTGGTCGTAGCGGGATATTTGGCTTCGCAAATAAACTATCCAGCTCAGAGAACACAACCACATCAAAATTATCCACCTGAGCTACAAATCTTCTCTTTCATATCCACTACCTCTTCCTCCTAACCGTCGGTTTTGTGTATATTATGTGGAGGGAGACAGGAAGAGCGAACAAATTATTGGCATTAGATGGTTGGAGGCAATGGGCCACAGGAAGCCTTGGACACATCACCAGGGTTTCGTGCTAGTTGGCGCTCACCAGTCAGTCAGCAAGACAGGCGTATCTGCAACCTTGAAGGAACTCATGTCCCTTCTGAGATTCGAACCTGCAGTCAGAGACGTTACCACTGAGCTATTCAGCCTAGCGATTGATCTCCTTCCTGTAGGACTGTATTGTTTTTTTTTATTTGCACACTAGTCAGTAACTAGTGTAATGCGTGTGTGCCTATTAGTCCTATTTTTGGTGCAGACTGAACTCTATCAGTCAAGGTCAAAGGCTTCCTGCCGATTGCCTCCAACTAACTATCTAATACCAACAATTCACAGTGCACCGTGATAGCGAGCCACCTAGTGGCATGGTGGCCCGTATGCAAACTTGACTGATGGAATTCAGTCTGCACCAAACAGGGGAATAGACACATAGATTACACTAGTTACTAACTAGTGTTTAAACAAGAGGAGCATCCAAATAATAATACTAATAATAATTTACTTTATTCCAGAAACAGTACTAGTGGTACAGTGTGGAATTTTCAGCACATATCTACAATATTTGCATCTAATTTTATCAAACATTTAAAAGGAGTATTTCAAAAAAATAAATATAAAGACAACAACAGCAAAAAACAAACAAAAAATACAAAAATAATTTTTAAAAATGCGAAAAAATACCAAGAAGTAGAAAGGAAAATAAACAGCATATAATAATATCTCAGTATTGGGTAGCGAAAGCTATGATATGATTATGCATGGTGACAGTAAAGCTATAGTCATACAAGAAGTTATGAAATGATGGTTTAGAATGTTTATCGCTAAGATGATCAGTTAATTTGGTTGAACAACACTAAACAATCATAAAATAACATTCCAGGGTTGTTGTTTTTTATTGTCAGGTCTAATGCGGTTTTTGTAGTGGTAGTATGAGTAATCCTGCATAATACAAAATTTTAAGATGGTGATAATGGCTTTCACAACCAAGATTGTCAGTTAATATTGCCGAAAAAAAATTAAAACTAGCGAAAAAAAACAACCACAAAAACTTATAATTACATGATGGTTAATGAGAGGAAAATTTTGTACTACTCATAGTGCTAATATAGTCGGAACCAGTAGATACACAAAAGAAGGAATAGAGTAAAGTACAAAAAGTAAGCCAATGTTAATAATTTAGGTAGCTAAGTATGTTTAAGAAGGAGTTCACTATAGAATACAAAATAAGAGAGAAATAAAAGAGCCTAAAATTATGTTATTAACAATGAAGCAAGTCATAGGTTTCCCGCTAAACGTTGTCTCTGTCACTTAGAACACGGGCCAAGTATGGTATTGTTGAATTCCTGTACTTGGTTGAACGAGCATATATATTATTTTATATTGATTTCTGGTTCTACTTGATGAGATACAAGGCAAGACTTTGGAATAGAGGGGGTGTAGGGGGTCGGAGAGTATAGTTTTAAACCATTTTTCGCATGTATTCAGATGCCTATCAACTAAAGTAGTGACGAGCTGACTGAGTTTTACACCACTAGTCCTACTGACTACCTTCAACATCCTTCTCAGGATGGTATAGTCCTTTTTCAGTAGATCAGGAAAGACTAACGGGGAGCAGTAAAGTAGAATAGGTAAGATACAAGAGTTGACAAATTGTGAAAGTAGAGGTTGGGTGATTCCAGATTGTCTTAGTTTCTTAATGTAATAGGTTAGACCGAACACTTTCTTAGAAATCAAATAAATATAAATATCGTGATTACGTCGTCTAGGAGGGGATTTTTCAAATAAGTATTCCGTTACAGAAACCGTCACTACAAGAGCAGATCAATGCATAAATGTACACTGAAGAGGTCATATTTCAGTAAGTCATGAACACCAAATTTTAGTGAGATGTGGTAATTTTTTGAGCTTTTTTAGTGTGTGTGTATGTGTGCATTTTAAGAAGAAAGTCCATACGGATTGAGTTCTTGTAGGGAAAAATAATTATCGACTCATAGTGATTAAGAACAAACAGTGTTTAGCGAGGAGTCTCTTTTCGTCGGCGAATTCCTCCACTTAGCTGTACAGTAGCAGTTACGACTAACTGCTTTCAACGTAGAACTTTGCACAGATGTTCAGCAGTTCGAGTTGCCACTCTCCCTCCATGTAGCACACAAAGCAAGAGAAGAGAGATAATAAACAGAAATGTGAGGCAAAAAGAACAGCGATATGGAAGAAAGATAGAATTTTATTGCATATTATCAATCACAAAGAGTAGTGAATGCATCTGTACCAGCCATTGAGAACGAGGATTTTGAGCCATATCACCAATTGTCTCCAGTCTTCATTGGTTTATACCATCCCGAGGACCCCAACCAGTCAGTCAGGAAGACCACACCTCCCTACGTGACTGGTTGGCTGGTTTAAACTATCTAATGTGGATTTCACTGACTGATGAAGTCATGTTTTGGTTTGACCAACACCAGGCTATTGGGGGTGTTTTTCTGGCTGTCATCGTTATTTGTGGTCACAGAACGAAATGAAGATGACTGGCTGACAGTAGTAGGGAATCAAGATGATGAGGGTGACAGACATAAAGCAGAATGATGGTCAGAAGGGCTTCGTGTACTGCTTCTGGAAGTGTGTGGGCGGTTGTTACTTCCCGGTTGCCCACACCGTGGAAGTTGCTTGATTCTTCGGGTACCTGAAACAGATAGAGGGTTAGTGTTGCGTGACCGCATAACCCAGGGGACAACTGCTTGAGGCCAGGCGGTCACACATGACCAGTCTGAACTGGCTTTTTGGTTTGCTTCCGTATTAGTAACTTACCGCCGCCTAAAGACCACCGCAGGTTGGGTACGTCGGGATGTACAATTTTTGGGGTTGCCCCCTTCTAACCCCCTCTTTCCATCAGAGTGGTGAGATAGCATAGTTGGCTGGCATACTGATCATCTGAGGGAAACATCTTACTATCGCTGTTACATCCCTATTCCTCAGCAGTACGACTTTGCCCACAGACAGAACCCAGCATAGTGTAAAACAAGATCTTTTACTATACCGGTAACTGCTTTTAGTCTAATCGCTATCCTAACAATCTTCCTGTCATGGTAGGTAGGACCTGCAGGAACATTAATGTCAGCCAGTGTAGCTTGTTGGGTCATTGTGATATGCAAGCCCGAC